ATGATACAATGATATTATTATGATTTATTGATAATATTAATGATTAAAATATAATTTTTACAAATTTATTGAATAAAATAAAACTCTCACACTTTAGTGATTTTGTGGGTAGTTTACTCTATTAAATTATATAGAGTATGAATATCATTCATGTGGGTTTGTATAATGCTGTTGGATAGTATGGTTGGAGTTTTCTTCTTCTTCTTAAAGTATAGTTGGAGTATTAAATCAATAAAATTGTAGGTATGGTTGGGTTTTTCTTTAAAAATAAATAAAATAATGCTAACCATAAAATGAATTAACCTATCCTTATTTAAGGCCTCCATGATACAATGTGTACTCTCTCTAATTTATTGTTAAAGTGTTAATAATAAAATGAAATTGAAACTAAACTTTGATTTGTTTATATAATTAATTTTAAGATGTGATGTTTAGATTTGTCTATTAGTCAATTTGAATCAGTTAATTATTTCACACATCTTTAAATTATGATTTTTATTTTAGATTATCTTGACATTTTTAAATATTTTAATTTCATCTTTAAATTATAATTTTTATTATAAATTGATCACTCAAACTCTTGAATATTTCAATTTCATCTTCAAACTATCGGCATATTCTACTCATATCTCATGTTAATATAATTGTTATAAAAATTGGAAACGGACATGGAAATATTGTTGTGGGATAAACTATAACTAATGTTGGGTTTAAATAAAATAATAATTAAACTTTGACACGTAGAAAATATTATAAAACAAATCGAGATAACAAAAATAAAAATCAAAGAACATTTTAATTTAATTCTAAATAAGGAATTCGAGAGACGTGATATAACATTAATTATTTTTATATCACACCAAATTATACCATAATATACATTAGTGTTTACACGTTAGTTACCAATTTTAATAGTTTAATTATCAGGGGCATGATTTGCATACATCAATAGTTTAAGATAGATTTAAAATGTTCAAAAGTTTGAGAATTAATTGAAAACGAGTGTTATAATTTTGGATTTAATTAGAATGTTCAAAAGTTTAGGGACTAAATTAGAATATGAGTCTTTGAGATGATATTAGGATATTCAAAGTTTAAGAATCAATTTAAAATGAGAGTCATAGTATAGAGATGTGTGGTGAAATTAACTTGATTTAAATTATAGTTTATTTTTAAAAAAATATTATCTAAATATAAATCAAATCAATTTGTAATTTCATCAATAAATCATACCTAATGTTCATAAAATAATTTGTATTTTACAATTAAATTTAAGTAATACAATATTTTATTTATCCAACAATTATTAGATTAGACTTGATCGGTTTTAGTTATTAAAAGATTTGTCTAAAGCATATTCAGCTTGATCCAATCCTATATAAGCCTCATAAAGTTTAGATTTATATCTCAAACATTTGCATTTTTCTTCTTTATTTTAGTTTTTTTATTAAAATAAAAGGGAAATAGTTTAAACTATTAAACTTTTAATCCAAATTAAAATTAATTAATAATTTTAAGAATACTTGGGATATAATTATAAAATTGATCAAGGTGACAGTGGTTGAGTGCACTAAGCAACTATACATCTAATCAAACTCAAGGAAAGTGAAGACACATGCTTTAGCACTATCTCAAGCTTTTGCTTGTTTTTGCATCTGCACATCCATAGGTCAACTAATGTTATTTGTTGTACTTTATATCAATATGGTATATATATAATCATTATTATAATGCGAAATAAACAGGTTAGGTTTAAATATGTATAAAATTCTCTAACCTAATTTTTTAATATAACTATATATATATATATAATTCATTAATCAAATAATTCAGACCGAATACTGTAAAAAAATTTATTTTATGAGCGATTCACGAACCTCACCCGTAGTCATATAGATCTTTGAAAATGGATATATGTTAACAATTACATAAACAAGTAATGTTTTCAAAAGGCGTGATGTTCTTGACATATTTTTATGAATATGGTTTGAAAAAAGTTATTTTATTTGAAATTAGAGATAAAATGAATGAGATTTATATGAAATTAAGAATTTTATTAATATTCCTTCAAAAAGAATTTCAAGTAATATTGAAGAGGTTTTAAATCAATATGCTTTTTTCAGTGCTTGGCACTTTGGAACCCAAATTTTGTGTATGGAAATGCAGCACAATAAAAATAACAATATATATATATATATATATTTTTGTATGCGTGTATATATCGTATTCAACTTTCTTTTGATCAAAAAAGCCATCATGGATTAGCCATCCATTTCAAAAATTCCAAGCCCTACCACGTGATTATGACCCATTTTATTTACTTCATTTCCCATAATATATATATATATATATATATATATATATATATATATATGATCTTGTTACATAATATAAAACTCATTCGGTTTTATAAATATTTAGGACCGTTGAATGAGTAAGAATAGATTACTGAGATTAACAATAGGAAATGATAAGATATCCCCAGAGAAAAAAAAATAAGGAATCAATCTCAGCCATCTATTTTTACTCATCCAACGGTCCTAAATCTATGTAAAACTAAAGAATTTTATATTGTGTAAGTGAATCTTAACCATATATATTCAATTGTTTATTCTCAATTATCCTCAATCAATATATTTTTTTTTTAAAATGTTATGTAGGTGTAGAATTAGGATCTATTTACACTTAGAGTATAACTTTTAATTTTACATTTTTTTATGTAAATATCTTTTTAGTTCTCACTGTTAATCTTAATTGTCTATTTTCACTCATATAAATATCCTAAAAATTGTAAAACTAAAAGATATACATAATACAATAATCTTAAGAAAATATATAATACTAAGATGTTTCACATAGTATCAACAAATCTTGCCCATATATATATATAATAGGTTTAAATATACAAAATGTGCCCAATTTATGTTCGTTTTTTTAGTTTAGTGACTAAAGCTTATTTCGTTCCAGTTTGGTGTCTAACATTTTATTCAGTTACTCAAAATGGGTCAATCTGTGACAGACCGTTAATTTCAAAATGACGAGATTGTGACACATGTCACTTAACGGAGAAAATTAACAGTCCATCATGACTTAACCCATTTTGAGTAATGAAATGAAATATTAAGCCCCAAATTAGAACGAAATAAACGTTAGACACTAAACTAAAAAATCATGTATAGGTTAGACACCTTTTGTATATTTAAGTCTATATAATATTCACTATCGATGTGATGAAAATATTTTATGTAAAAAGTATATTTATTAAAATTATGTAACAAATGTTGTTTGTCCTGGTTTTCTCTCAACTTTTGCACCGCTTGTTTTTTTTTAATCTTTGTTTAATTGACCATGACACTAGTCTGATGTTGGTTGCAAATGCTAGTATTTTTATTTTATTTTATTGGGCATCTTTGATTTTTCTTTATTTTTTTTTTGTTTCTAATAACTTTACTTTATGGCATGCTTTCATATACTTTTATGGTACGTTTTTCTTTATATTTTGGCATATTTTTGGTCTTTTCGGTCGTTCTCTTCGTTTAATTTTTTCAACGTTAGATTCGTGTAGCCTTGAATGATGAAGATGATGCTTATTTGTTGTTCTGTTGATCTTTCATGTTTTGGACCTTCAGATTTGATTTGGATACGTTATTTGCGTTCGATGATTGTTTTCTTATGATGCTCAACTTCGATTTGTGATTGTCGATGATCTTTTAGTAAATTGATCTCTTGTTGTAATTCATTTGTCAATACAGTCAGATTTGTTCGTATCTATATTTTATTCGAAATTTTTGGATGAGTTTTTATTCTTTTCCTTGTATCAATATGATATCAAGTAACTAGTTTCTTGTGTCAATTTATTTTAATAAATGTCATAATTATGTGTTTAATTTACGTGTATGATTGTAAACATTGTCAACAATTTCTAGAGCAAGTGGTTAAAAACTCTCAGTTAACATCTCATCTCTTCTATAAGTTGTGGGTTTAATATTCATATTAAGAGCAAAATTCTCATTCCCCTCTCCTAGATAGAAATTGTTCAAAACAAAAATGATTGTGAACTTTCTTCTTTGGACTAAAGGTACATGCACCAGAGTCCACAATGATGACAATGTTTTATTCTTTGGACTAATGTTTCTACTCGAGCCTCTTAGAAGAACAAAGTCTCGAAGATTCAAAGCACATCTATTCAGTAAGTATAATATGAATGAATGTTTTAAAGATCCTAAACTAATGATAAATGCTTTAGGTTGTGGGTTTAATATCCATATTAAGAGAAAAATTCTCGTTCTTCTCCCCTAGATAGAAATTATTCAAAAGAAAAATGATTTTAATTTTTCACTGTAATTTTATATATATTTTCTTCTACCAACTTTTATTTACCCAAAAAAATTATGTAACAAATAATTATAGTTAAAGAGAATGTATTGTATGCAAATTCATTAATTTTATATTCATCTTAATATTAATTATCAATTAAAAACTATATTTTAATATTCTCCTTACTTAACTGCTCTGCAAGACTAATTTAATAAAAAAGAAATTATAATACATTTAAGGAGTTAAAAGTCAAATTATTAAATTAAGAAATAAAAAGATAGCATTGAAATCACAAGGGAAATCACAACCGTTGATAGTAGTGGAACAAGATAGAATCAACTAGATCCGACAGTTCCCCGAACGCAAAGCATGTGACCTATTAAACACTCTGGCACAACTTACTATGTCCCCAAGATCCCATCACAACCGTCCAAATAAAAATATTCAAAATCAAACGGTCAAGATCTAATCCAACACCTGCTACGTCTCCTGAACAAGTTAGTGAAGTCCACCCCCACTAGCCCACCGCAACGTCAAGAAAATACAATTCTAGATTACCAAAACACCCATTCTTTTGAAATAATAAGAATCGTTTTACAAGGGTATTTTAGTCTTTTGGAAATTTCAACATTAATATATAAATCATCCTCCCCCTCCTCTCGACGAACCTTTAGCTACGAAAAACACTTGCACAAGCGGCACAAAAGCCGACGAAAATATTGCCTTTCGTTTTCCTCGTCGCTAGAAGTTTTTTTCCGTCGGAAAAAAAACTGGGTTGAGAGCCACGAAAATTTTTCTTTCCTAATAGATTTTTCTCTTTTTTTTCTTCATTTTATTTCATTTTTACAAGCTTTTACAGTAAAGGGTAAGGGGGAGTGTGATGGGATCTTGTATTTGTCCATTGGAGACACCAGCAAGGTTGCTTTGGACTACTAGTTTCTTTCGCCACAAGCTCATGATCTTTTAATTTTATAGAAAAAGTAAAACACAGAGTTAATCTGTGTGTACAAAACAATCTTTACTTGTTTCTTTTACCAACACTTTTGTGTCCTTTTACTCACGAAATTCCGTCGCTAAAGAGCTTTTAGCACAAAAAATACATAAGATATTGAGAAAGAGAAGCTATAAAAATGGAGTCCGGCCGTCTTTTTTTCAATCCCTCGACCTGCCACGGCAACATGTTGTTTCTGGGGAACAGTGAACCCATCTTTCGAGGTGATTTACTTGTCGCCGTCTTATATTTATAGTGACAAGTACAATATTTTCATCGCTATTAAATAGATATTGGATCATTTCTTTGACTTTTTTTGGCTTACATATGTCAAAGGAGCAAGAACCACGCATAGCATGGAGGAAAACTCAAAGAGGCGACTGTTCTTCAGCTCACAGGAGGATTTGTACGAGGAGGAGTACTACGACGAGCAGTTGCCGGAGAAAAAGCGTCGTCTCACGTCGGAGCAGGTTACTGAAAAATGCTTTTTATATAGATAAAAGGATGGTTGAAAGTCGATATTTAATTCAATTGTTTTAAATTATAAAAAAAGGTATATGATACTAATAGGAACATATACTCCACTAGTTTTTAAGACTTGAAAAATATTCACCATATCAGAATCAAATTCTCTTTTGATGTTAGATTGAGATTGTAGGGAATCAAATGAACCCAAAATAAAAAGGGATTTTTTAGATGAGGAAATTGATGAGAACCATTTCATGTGAAGGTGTATCTGCTAGAGAAGAGCTTCGAGTCCGAGAACAAGCTGGAGCCGGAGAGGAAGAGCCAGCTGGCTAAGAAGTTAGGATTGCAGCCAAGGCAGGTGGCGGTGTGGTTCCAGAACCGCCGTGCAAGGTGGAAGACAAAGCAGCTTGAAAGGGAGTACGATCTCCTTAAATCTTCCCTTGATTCCCTTCAGTCAAATTATGACTCTATTCTCAAAGAAAATGCCAAGCTCAAATCTGAGGTATTTCACCATTTCAACCCTTTTTAATCGTATATCTTTTTAACATCTTTAGATGAAGAGTAATAATAAGAAATGCGAAGCTGTTTACAAGGAAAAAATAAAGAAATAATTGAAATATTGACATCTTACTACATGGATTTGATATTTTTATTTTAAATAATATGAGATGATTATAAGATAATATTTATTTATATATTTTCTTAATTTATTAACAACACATATTTTAAATACGTAAAATGTTAAAACTCAAAATCTCTAAATAGAATAATTCTCTCATTTACTATTTAAATTACTGATTGAGTTCGATATTTTTCTATAATTGTAATATAAAGCAGCATCTGTTCCTAACCCCACACGATTTTGAGTGACGGTTTTAGAAAAAGCAAATTAAAAGAGGAATATGCCGTAGTAGCTTTCTAGAAATATGCTTAGGGCTCCACTAGAAGATAAAACAATTGGTATAAAATATAATACATAAATGCACAGCCCAAAAAGTAATCTCTATGGTTTCAACATTGAAATATATTAATTGTCCACCATAGGTTGCTTCCTTGACTGAAAAGCTACAAGCCAAAGATGTGGCAACAGAAGGAATAACAGGTGAAAAGGATGAACCCTTACGGGCTGAGATGGTTTCCACCCTCCAATTCAGTGTGAAGGTAGAGGACCGTCTGAGTACCGGCAGCGTCGGGAGCACGGTGGTCGATGAGGACGCTCCGCAGCTAGTCGACAGGGGTGATTCCTCCTACTTTCTGAGTGATGAATACCCTAGATGTATTGGCCCTATCAACGGAGTTCATTCGGAAGAAGACGATGGCAGCGATGATGGTCACAGCTACTTCTCCAATGTGTTCACAGCAGCCACAGAGCAGGAGCAGCAGCATGAGGAGACATTAGGATGGTGGGTCTGGTCCTGAAGGATCCTGCAAAGAATATCTATACTGTTTCATAACATGTCATGCTTTAAGACAACATATGAAGATGACCTTAAAAAGAAGAGTGGTATCAAAAGCCTAATGTATGGGGGTAAAGTAAATGTATAAAATTTAAAGTCAACGGAATGATAATAATCTTTGTTTAAGCTACACAGCAACACCTTCCTTTTTCAGCTTATATATAGATAGATAGAGATATACAAATCGGCAAAGACTAGCCCTTCATTCTTCAATATCTGACGCCTAAAAACCAAAACTGACCTATAAAAGCTTGTGAGAAATATATAATTATAAAATAAATGAATTAACATCAACAAGTACAAGATAATAAAACAAACAGATTAATATTACCCCAATATAGTATTATTTTATTATTATTTTTGGTTGAAACTCATTGTTAATTTTGTAGTTCTTGCTTAAGTAACACCAATTTTTATTGTCGTGACACAGCTTTATAAGATATAAGTACGGTAAAATAAACAGATTAACATTGGTAGGTATAAGATAACAAAACAGATGGATTAGTACTATTATAGTACATTAACATCTTTTACTTATTTATTTTATTATCTTGTACTTGTTAATGTTAACCTGTTTGTTAGGGTAAAACGTTTAGTACTTAAATTATTAGTTTTGATTTGTTTAGTTACTTAAACTTTCATTTTTTTCAAAAGCGTACCTAACTATTAATTTTTATTTCATTTTAGTACGTTGCCGTTAAAAACTTAACGGGTTTAGTACCTAAACTATCAGTTTTGATCCGTTTTAATACCTAAACTTTCATTTTTTTTAAAAAACTTAACGTTGAGTTTTTAACGGATCAAAATTGATAGTTTAAGTACTAAACAAATAATTTACCCTATTTTTTATGAAGTTGTATCACGATAATAAAAGATGACGCTACTTAAGCCAGAAGTATTAACTTGAGAATGAGCTGCAACAGGAAAAGGATAATCATCAAGGCATGAAGATTAAAGTCCAACCAAAGTGAGAATTGAATTGTTTAGGGTCAATATTTTCACTGAAGTTAAGTCCAATCGTCCACGGAGTGGAAGTTCATGTGAGAACAACAGAAACCACTTACATACTAAATTAGAATCTGTTCTTTCCCACTTCCAAGTGTTTCCTTCTTGTCCTTTCATCTTACATCCTCACTCCATAGCATATATGCACTTTGACTATATTCACTCTTTTCTTTGCATTCCATGTGTAAGAAACAACAAAGTTAATATATAGTTTAGATATTTTCTTTGTATTTTAAATTAATCTATTTTCTTTAGGAATGGACCGAAGGCGTGAGTGGATGTAGTCGCCCTCTGAAAATTTTAAATTAATATATAGTTTAGATATTTTCTTTGTATTTTCAATTAATCTATTTTCGCTAATAAAATTTAATAAGTTCACTCTTTCCTAAAATTTTAAGAAGCAACAAAGTTATAGTTTTGATTTTCTTTGCTTGTACTTTCCCCCTTTAATGGCCAAAAGCAGACAAAAACCATTAGTTTTCAAGAAAAATATAAGATTATGAAAAAGCATGTTAATCAAACTTCACATATGGAATATTTTATTTAGAATTTAATTATTTGATTATCAGAATTTGTATATAAAAATATGTGTGATGTTCATATTTGGATATGTATTATATATATAAACATAAATATTTCAAATATCAAAGGCGGCCGACGATAATTGGTGATGGTGGTGAGCAACGGCGGGTAGCGGAAGATTTTGGTGAAATTCAGAAGTCACACTATTATTTTATTTAAAATTAGGGTTAAATCAGCATTTTATCGACCAGATCTCAAATTAATATTTTATCTAAAGTTTAGAGATAAATTAAAAATCAATTCTTTTTATTGATACGTCATATCATCAAATTAACAAAATTAACGACTTAATGATAAAAACCAAATAGACAGAAAATAAAAGTAACCAGAACTTGACTTTTTGAAACTGATGACAATAGTAAAATAAATCAAAAATAAAAGTGATAACCTAAGTAATTTACCCTATTTAAATTGTCAAAGAAAATCGTTATTTATCCAAATATCACTCTTAACAATCAATAAACAAAATAATATATCTTATTATTTATTTTTTAGATTAGCACCCTATTATTTAATGTAAGACAATCATTTCATGTCAGTTGGGTTGAACAATGAAGGCATCACGTGTGTATAAGTCTCACCTTCAATTATTCAATAAATATATATTTAAAAAATGTATTTAAACACTTAAAAATTTCTTTAATAAATTTAATTAAGTGTGGTTTAAAGTCTCATCTCGATTAATTTGGTGTTTTATTTTAAAATTATAAAAATAGTTCGAGGAATTGCCATAAATATTTGATTAGGGTGTGATTAATCACCTAAAATTATTGTCATTTTAATAAAAAAAATTAAATTTAATTTTATTAAAATGTTTTTAGGTCTACGTATGGGAAAGGGTTAGCACCCCACATCGCACTAAATTGGTACCTAGTCGATTAACTAATTATCTTTGCAATGAAATTTACAAGTTCGAGTTTAATTTAATTTGAGATCCCTTTAAATAACACCCTTGAATTTTAGGACGAAAAACGAAAATATTTAATTATTTCCTATCGAGAAGAAAGTACCTCTCATACCTTAAAGCAGTCAGTTCTTACTCCAATCGAAATAAAGAAATATTACTATTTCATTCTAAAATTCATTATTAATTTGAGTGCATGAATGATGATAAAATAAAGTAAAACAAATTAAATTAAAAATTACTAATCTTTTTAGAAAGAAGAAGGATGTTCGGTTATTTAAAGACGTCGAAATCAGACCTTTTATAAGTTCTAATATTCTTTTCTCGACGAATTTAAATTGACGAACATTTTTTTTCTCTTATTCCTAAATTTTAGGCATGATTAAATTTTTATAGTTTCACTTGACGAGTTACACTTTCATTTTAAAATTATCAGAAGTAATTTTTATATACATTAAGACAATCACTTTACAACAACCTTAAAATGAAAAGGGTATTGCCCTTAATCCAATTATTTGAACGAATCAAGTGATACTTATGAATGTATCATACATATTATGCAAAAATAACATACTTGTTAAAAAAATAATATAAAAACCTAGATTTGCATATTCAAGTGGGCTCATGCACATTTATAATGTTTTAGAACATATTTTGAATAATACTTTAATACTCTATCTTTATCCAATAAATTTAATGTATATGTTTACAAACACCTTAAAATAACATTAACGGGTCCGTTTTGTGTTAATAAATTAAATATTCTACTATATTGAACTTAACATAAGGAAGCTAAGGACGAGGAAATATTTATGAAATTAACATATATCATAGTAAAGTAACAAACGTGTGTCGCATGCTAAGCGTAGAATCCTCAACATATCCAATTATAAATTAATATATGTGCATATATATATCAAGGCAGCATGCAAGGATGATCAAATTTAAAAGGCCAGTAAAATTAAGGTCATGACAGCAAATATTACCAATAAATACCAGGACATAAAGCATAAAAGTCCTATCTTTCAGGCACTAGAGTCAATATATCTTTCAGGACTAAAATGCGATCATGAAAATAACTTGTTGAATGTACAAATGGTACGAAATACAAACAAACAAGCAACGTGGACTAAAATGACACACAGAATCAGAAGCAAAAAAGGTAAGAATTTTAGGGACCCAAATGAACTAGAAGGAAATTGGGTGGGCCCTTACAATGATTAACCTCTTCCCTAGACGTTTAGAAACAAAACGATGTCGTTTTGGCTACCGCATACATATGGTATTTTGGGTAAAGGTTGTAACCCTATTTTATTTGTGTTATAATTTTTTTTCCTAAACATCCCTCTCTTCCCGTCGTTTCTCTCTAACTCTGTCAACCCCTTTTCTTTTTTTCTTTCTTATTCCTTCACTCTTTCTTTCTTTCTTATTCCTTCACTCTTTCTTTCTTTCTTTCACTCTTCTTCCTCAGTCAGAGCAGCCACTGTGGCTGCCACCATTAAACGACACTGGCGAGGGGATAGAGAACACGAAGGCTTACCCTCGACGACTCAACAACATTCGAATCCCCAGGGATGGTGACGATGCTCCTTTCCGGATGTAAAGGTAAGTTCTTTTTTTAGGGTTTCCTTTCTTCTTTGGGTGCTCGGTTCTTCTAGCATAAAATGCTCTACTTTTGGTTGTTGGTTTTGCTAAAGTCCAAAAAGGAGAGCCTTTTTCTGGGTTTTTTTTGGGTTTGTTATCGCTGTGTTTTGATGATGAAAGGGTTTTTTTTGCTTGCTCTTTGTTCTCTCGATTGCTCTCGGTTTTTGGTTGTGGAGAGAAAGATGATTGATCCTTTTCTTTTTTGTTTGTTGTTGATGATATATCCCTTGCCTTGTTTTTTGTTTGCATGCAAGGTTCGAGGGGTCTTCTCCTTTGATCCTGACGAGGTGGCCCAATCGAGGGCTGAGATAGGGCCTCCAAATGCTCATAATGTCCTTTGTTGGAGTCTTGTTGTTGCACGTTCATGTTGTCTGCTATTGTCGAGGGAATGTGGCAGGGAGACAAACAGATGTTGCAGCAGGTACGGTGGTTAGGCACTTGGAGGATTTGGAGAGGCGCGCGTGCACCCGATGCACGAATCTGATTGATTTTCATTCTCGGTTTGAATCTGGGTCATTGGATCATTGATTGGATCCAATAGTTGTGATGCACTAGTAAGGGTGTAAACGAGCCGAGTCGAGTTCGAGGACTCAACTCGAAAACTCGCTAGCTTAAAATTTTCAAACTCGACTCGAACTCGAAATTCTGAACTGAATCTCGTGAACAGCTCGAAAAGGCTCGAAATGAAAAAAAATATCTTAAACTTAACTCGATTGAAGTCTCAAACTTGAACCTGAACCTTAAATACATGAAAATCTTAATGTATTTTAAAAAAAAATCAATACATAAATGTTAATATTATTAATAATTTATTTTTTAAAAAATTAAAAAATTAAAAAATTATATTTTCGAACTACTCACGAGTTTTTCGAGTCGAATATCAAGTAGCTCGTTTCGGCTCGTTAAGAACTCCAGTCGAGCTCGAGTCGAGTCCATTCGATCCGAGTATTTATTGAGCCTTGATCGAGTCAATCTCAAGTAGCTCACGATCTATTTCGTCTCATTTGCAACCCTATGCACTAGAGACAACAACATTGCTTAGAGTTATGAAAACCCTAATCAGACCTTTGATCTGGGCCATCGATAACCCACATATCGGACGGATGGGAATTGACAACGCCTAAGGCCAAAACAACAGCTAGGATTTTTCCATCTTTGACACACAAGATTCTTGACTTTGGGCCTTCAGATTTGGATCATTGACCTTGTAACCCTTGGGTTTCATTTAGCTAATTTTTGTAACTTGGGCATGCAAACAAAATAAATAAAATGTTAACCATTTGTTTTAAACTTTAACTATTATATATATATATATATGTATTATACGTATATATATAATAATACAACCACTGAAACATAGATTCATAATAACAATATTAATATATAATATAATATATCTATAGATTAATAGACACACCCACATAAATATATATAAGTCACCGTATCAATAATAAATAATATATATGTATAAACATACGCATGCATGATATGTATGTATGTATGTATGTATATATACATTCACACATAATAATAATAGTGTATATATTTACACACCTATTAGTACATTAATTAATTGACATATATATATTTACTAGCATATGTATATATATATTCACACATAATAGTAATATTAATAATAATATATATTCACACACCTATTATATATTAATTAACTGACCAATATATAATATATTATATTTAAATTTAATTAATAATATATATATATATACACGAATGGAATTTGGATGAATCCCCATACAAAATGAGCATCTGCACTTAGTATCTAAAATTATCTTTGACTTTCATATTGATTTGGGTCTAATCAAGTTCAGGATATATTTTCGATAACTGAAAATCAGTATATTACTTATGAGATTCTTAAATTTTATATTATCCAAATATGAATTTTTCAAATGTTTTTAAATATTAAATTTTTTAGATAAACGGATGCGATTTTTATCATTCAGATCAATTCGTTTTTTAAATTATTTAATTTGATTTACGCCACTGCTCACCCTAACATCAACATACGTCCGCCACTACCTTTAATTTTTAAATTGGTAATCAAAGTCGATCAGATCAATAACAAAGGAGATTATTCACATGACACGTCACTTAATAGCCGAGATTGTTACAATCTAGACACATAAAAATATCACTTAGAAACTTTAGATACATATTTAAAAAAGGGTAAAGTATAGTAATGGCCACTAAATTTTTTTAAAGCTTTCATTTAGGTCCCTCAACTTTTAAAACTTACAATACAGTCCCACAATATTTATTCCGTTTGCAATATGGTCCCCTAATAGTTACGTCGGGAACTATATTACAAACAGACTAAATGTTGGGGGAATGTATTGGAAGTTTTAAAAGTTAGGGGACCTAAATGAAAGCTTTAGAAAAGTTCAGTGACCATTACTATAATTTACCCTAATAATTAATAATTAATATTTAATTTAAATTTTAATATAATATTAATGATAAAAGAATATAGTTTTTTTTATAGAATAAGGTTTTTTTGGCAATAATAATTATTATATTTTCTCTAATTTATGGGAGTAGATGAAAACGATACTCGTTAATTTTAGTTAATTTATTTTATATTAATTACGTCAAATTTTTATTAAGGAAAAAACTAAAAATAAAAACTGTCTTGTCTAGTTGTCTTAATAAAGATTTTATTTAATATATTAAATAATTATAGATAAAGTACATAAATAATCATTAAATTATATTTAAATATTTTTTAGTTATTAAATTTTTAAAATTTATAAAAAGATCATTGAATTTTTTATTTGATTACAAAATAGTTATCGCGTGGTTAGCTATCTTTTCCCAGGGATGGACTAAGAGGGGTGGGTGTGATCAATCGCCCCCTGAAAATTTAAAATTAACATATATTTTAGATTTTTTCTATGTGTTTTTTATTAAAAAAATATTTTCGTGCTTCTAGTATTTTATAAGTTTACCCCAACATAAAATTTTACATTTGTTCCTGTTATTTACTGTCGTCAAAATCAATGACGTGACATGTTAAATTAATAGATAATATCTCATTTGACTCATAAGTTATAACTAAAATTTTGTTTTGATATACCCTAAACCCTAAAGATTTGTCATGATAGTTTCAATGAAAATACTAAAAAATTGACCCCCTAACTAGTGTTGTTTTGTGGCATGTACAAAGCTTTTATAGATGTGGTGATACAAGCATAGGATATGTGAAACAATTTATTTTGGACAAAAAATTGAAGATGTTTTTGAAGGCCGGAACGTTAGCTGACTTGAGACAAAAATTTTAATGAAAATTAGGATTTCTAGATTGTGACGTCTTTTTATTTATACATCGTCTTTCAATTACCTTTCTAATGCATCTTGAATCGCTTCACTCGAACGTCGAGAACTCAAGATATATTTGTTTTAACAAAGGCGACGCATGTAGAAAATTAAATATGAGTTCAAGAGAATTTTGATATATTACAAATTTTCAATTATTTTATTAGTTATTTCTAATTAAATTCTGTTATTTGTTTTGATTAATTTAGGATCATATTTATTATTTTAAGATTTGTTTTCTTAGTTAGAGATAGATTTACTTTATTCTAAATCAAAATTGTTTTGTGCCTAAATAAATACATTATTTTATTTTTAAAGTATATCTAACATTAATATAAAAAATATTATTCTTTTAGAAAAAATTTAAAATTATTCTAAAAATAGAAAAATATAATATCTTTTACATTAACGCTGGATATACTTTAAAACAAAGTAATATTTTTATTTAGTCACAAAGTACTTTTACTTTAAAATAAAACAAATCTACTATTAGTTAAGAAAATAATTCTTAAATTAATAACCATGGTCTTAAATTAACTAAAGTGAATAATGAATAGTCTTATACAGAATCTAATTAAAAATAGGGTAAAGTATAGTAATGGTCACTAAATTTTTCTAAAGCTTTTATTTAGGTCCCCAACTTTTAAAACTTGCAATACAGTCCCCAACATTTAGTCTGTTTGCAATATCATCCCCAACATTTAGTCCGTTTGTAATATGATCCCGGACGTAACTGTTGAGAGACCATATTACAAACATAATAAATGTTAGAGGATTGTATTGCAAGTTTTAAAAATTAAAGACCTAATTGAAATCTTTAAAAAAATTCAATGAACATTACTATACTTTACCCAAAAAAAAACTTTATACACTTAAAAATTAACTTTATATTTTAGTAAATTATTTTTTTCCATTAAGCCAAGACCTTCCCTTTTTGTTCTCTGACCTTTTTCTTGTAATTTGGTCAAATCCAATCTGGGTTTCTTTCATTTTGCATGTTCCGTTTAGAGTTTTGAAGTGTTACCCCCTTTTGGGTCACTTCAATTCCATTAGAAGTTCCAATATTTTATCATCTGGGAAATCTTAGATCTCCCTTTCAAAATTTGGGTTCCTTTTCATTTCCAGCAAAGATTCGATGTCACAAGGTTTTTCGATCGAGCTTTACTTTGATCCAGCACTCGAAAACCAAGTCTTGAAAGCATGGAACGTTTTGGCTCGTAGCCAAATCAGCACTCAGCTAATTGAAATCGAGTCTAGGCCTCACATTACTCTCTTTTCAAGCACTTTTCTTGACCCTCCCAAGCTTGAATCTGTTCTAAAGTCTTTTGCTTCCAAACAAGGACCTTTACCTATATCTTTTTCCTCAATTGGGACTTTCCCAAATGACAAAAATGTTCTTTTTCTTGCAACAGTTCCAACAATGGCCCTCCTACAGTTCCAGGCTCAATTGTGTGAGGCAATTAAAAAAGAAGGGATCGAAATTGGGGAAGAGTTCAAAGCTGATTCATGGGTTCCCTATTGTCCAGTAGCTCAGGAAGTGCCGAAAACAAGGATAGCCGTGGCTTTTTGTGTGTTGAGAGAGTTGAAGTTGTCTGTTTCTGGATATGCAATGGACATTGGATTGGTGGAGTTTTCACCTGTTCGTGAATATTTCTCATTTGAATTTGGGAATGCTGTTGAACCATGAGATTTGGAGGGCTCATTATTACATTGTTAGACTGTTAGTTTTTTTTATTGCCCTTTGTCAGAATTCCAAAATGAATTTTATTGATATGCTGCTAACAATGAATGATGGATTCTTAGTTCAGGTCAGTTTGCAACTTACTTCATTATCCTACGATTTTATTACCTGCTGTATTTTAACATTACATAACTAGATTCTCTATTGAATGGGACTAAAACATGGATTGCCCTCATAATTTTCATCAATCTTTTACCTTTGTGCATATGTCTAGCTCACAAGAATTAAGAAAATTGCATTGATGAAGATGTGTTGTACAATCATATGATCATACTCTTAATTTGGTTCACACCATTTATCAATCTGCTATCTTGGTTTGGATTTTGGAAGCATACATTGAATGCACTATGCATTATAATTTGGATTTTAGAAGTTATGCAGAGCAGATTGGGAAGTTTATTTTTTGTCTGTGTAATGACTTTCCTCAAATAAGCAAAGGGAAAGTATGTATCCAAATAATTTAAGTAATCATGTACTTATTGTTCCATGAACCTACTTATGTTCGTTCTTTCTACAAGCACTATATGAGACTTTGTTATCGGTTTCAATTTTCCATACATTATTCCTTGACTTACTGGTATATTTGAATCATATATACTGGAAATGTTTAATTTTGAGAATATTAGTCTTATTGATTAGTATCATGCTAAGGAAATTTGATGACCCTTCCTGCTTTTTTGCAATCAAAATAAGAATCCATCTCTTTTGGTTTGGGTTGGTAAAGAGTTTTTTTTTTAATGTTTAACATTATAAAATGGTGATTTCATCAAGTTGCATCATGTGTACTGTTTTCGGTGGCTTAGTTTATAGTTTTGGCTTTTAGAATTTTGACCATGTCTATCACTTTTGTATAAAATCAATGAAAATTATCCATCATTCGTCCGTGTTAGCAGTTCATAGGGGTCTAATCGACCTTAGCTGGGCTGTAGATGTTAGAAGCTTGGAACTCAAATTGACATTTGAGGCTCAAAGCTTGTTTTTTGCTCAATTGAGTTTCACTTTTAAAGCTTGGAAGCAAATTCAAGATCGAACCACTAGAGCTTGTTGATAAAGCTTGTTTACCTACATAATAAGCTTGCTTGATTCCCATGCACAACATTAAACTTGGTTTTTGAAGTTCAAATTGATAATTTTCAGTACTAATTTAAAATAATATATATATGTACAAAATGATTTATTAGGTTCATGAGTTATTCAAGTCTACTAATAGGATACTTGATTTGGCTCTTTCTATAGCTTGAACTGGAAAATGACCAAGTTTCAATTCATATATGAGTTAATCCTTTCGTTAATCTATGCATCACTTTGTTGTTTATGGAGTTTTAGCTTCTGGTGTAAAGGTAGCGATGAGTGGCTAATCGACTACGTACTATGTTGGTCAGTTTTAGTTGGGTTGAGTGTGATTGTTTGATATGAGCACGTATCCAACGCATATATCTTCGACCTTTTAAAAGTTTTTTGAGGTATTTGGCGGGTTTTGGAGCATTACATTCTCATACACATATTTGAATGTCATATCTATGTTTATATACATGTCATGTAGATATTTTGAAACAAGAGCTCAAACAACATTTTATACAAGATTATTCTCAGGCTATAGGGTATGATTATTGGGAAACCTTTAGTTCATTAGTAAAGGCCGATACTATTTGAACGGTTGTAGCCGTGGCTGTTCCGAACGGTTGGAAGTTGCAGCAAGTTGATGTAAACAACACTTTGTTGAACATGAATTTATCCGAGAAGATTTATATCTCATCCTCCAGGTTCCGATGTGGTGACTAATGATGGGAGTCCGTTACTTTTCCGTTTGCATCAAGCACCACAAGTGTGGTTTGATAAGCTTCGGACGTTTCGGTTAATATTTAAACTGAAAAATGATGGGTTGGAGTTTAATTTTCGTAGTTTTAAATTAAGAGGACTTAAATAATAATTTAACCTGAAAATAGAGGATGATACACTTCATTTCAACTTTTTTCCAGTGGAACTTTTCATTCTCCCTCGGTGTTTTATTCTAGATATGTTGTTTTTTGGCAAATTTTGAATCTCACATTGGTTTTGTATAAAGATGAGGGGAAATTCTTTTGTTATAAATAGAGTCATCCTCCTCTTTAGTTTAGTATCCCACAAATATAAGCCTTATTCTATATTAAAGGCTATTTGTACTCTTTATCTCCCTTTGTAATATTTCCTCTATTAGTAAAATATTATTTTAGTAGTGTTCGAGGAATTAGGCATAATTTTGGCCTAACCTGGTTAAATTTTGATGTTCTCTTTTATCTCTATTTAATAGTTATTGTCGGGTATAGTTGTTGTTAATTATTGTCCTACTAAAATTACTTGTCTTGGTAGTTTTGTCTAAGGAGAGTGGGTTTTAAGAGGGACCATTGTGACCCCTCCACACTTTCTTGAGAATATACATTGGGGTGATTTTTAGTATAATCGTTTTCACACTAGTCACCTAGATAATAGTTTTCAAGGTGAATTTGTTATTATTGGTGGATATTAACTCGAATTCTATAACAATTGGCATCAGAGCTCTTGGTTTATTTTAGTATGCTCTGTGGTTGCGGCTTAGGCTGATCTTCCACATCAGAAAAAAATTTCCTTAGGCTAATTGGCATTCTGCATTGACAACAATTAAATAGAATTTGTAGCAGAAATGGCAGACGACACAAAAACATCCACATCGTCGTCAACAACTTCTTCATCTTCAATTTTGGCAAGAAATGCTGTAACAAATGTTAGATTTGCAGTGGAGATTTTTGATGGCACCGGTCATTTTGGCATGTGGCAAAGTGAGGTTATAGATGCCCTATTTCAGTAGGGTCTAGACATTGCTATTGAAGGAGAGAAACCAGATGATGTTGAGGAGAAAGAATGGAAGATGATCAATAGATTGTCATGTGTTACTATTTGATCGTGTCTTTCTAGAGAGCAGAAGTATGCATTTTCTAAGGAAACTTCTGCAAGTAAATTGTGGAAGGCACTGGAGGAGAAATTTTTGAAGAAAAGCAGTCAGAACAATCTCTACATGAAAAAAAGATTGTTCTACTTCAACTATGTACCAAATACCACTATGAATGATCACATTACTAGCTTTAATCAGCTGGTGACTGATTTGATGAATATGAACGTGAATTTTGAAGACGAAGATCTGGCTCTGATGTTGATGGGATCACTTCCTGATGAGTTTGAGTATCTTGAAACTACTCTACTTCATGGGAAGGTTGATGTGTCTTTTAGTGAAGTAGCAGCTGCCTTGTATAGTTATGAATTGAGAAAGAAAGACAAACAAGAAAACACAAGTGTCGAAGCAGAAGCTTTTGTTGTTAGAGGCCGTTCGAAGAGTCAAAATAAAGGAAAGAGAGGGAGATCGAAGTCAAAGTCCAGATTGAGCAAAGATGAATGTGCCTTTTTGTCAAGAAAAAGGGCACTGGAAGAAAGAATGTCTCAGGCTAAAGATTAAAGGCAAGCCTGAAAGGGGAAAGGCTGTCTCAGAGTCAAATGTGGTCGAGTATGATGATGCATATTCAGATTTCGCATTCGCTGCTACGCCATCAACCAGTTGTTCCAGTTCATGGTTGTTAGATTCAGCTTGTAGCCACCATATGACCCCAATAGAGAATGGATCTTTGATTTTAAAGAATTAAAAGGTGGAATTGTCTACACAGTAAATAATTCCCCTCTTGACACACTTGAGATTAGTTCAATTCGCTTGAGGAATCAGGATGAATCAATCAGAACCTTAACATGTGTCCATTATGTACCAGATTTAATGAGAAATCTCATATCTGTGGGAACCTTAGAGTCAAAAGGTTTAGAAATGAGGGCAAAAAATAGGATTATAAGGATTATCTCTGGTGCACTGGTGATAATGAAGGGAATCCAGAAAAGAAACAATGCATACTACTTTCTGGGTAGTACAATTGTTGGGATAGCAGCAGTGGCAGCTTCTACTGATGAATAGGAGTCAGAAGCAACCAGGTTATGGCATATGCGCTTGGGGCATGTTGGTGAAAAATCCTTGAAATTACTGATAGATCAAGGATTATTGAAGGGTGCTCGGGCTTGCAAATTAGTTTTTTGTGAGCATTGCATCAAAGGGAAGAAGACGAGGGTGAAATTTGGAACAACAATCCATGATACTAAAGGTATTTTGGATTATGTTAATTCAGATGTATGGGGGCCTTCCAAGACAACTTCATTAGGAGGAACACACTATTATGTCACCTTTGTTGATGATTTTTCCCGGAGAGTTTGGGTGTATACAATAAAGACAAAGGATGAGGTGCTAGGATTTCTCCTTAAATGGAAAAAGATGGTGGAAACTCAAACAGGCAGAAAAATCAAACGTCTCCGTACAGACAATGGTGGAGAGTACAAAAATGATTCATTTCTGAAAGTCTGTGAAGAAGAAGATATTGTCAGGCACTTCACTGTCAGATATACACCACAACAGAATGGGGTGGCAGAGTATATGAATCGGACATTAGTGGAGAAGGTTCGATGTATGTTGTCTAATGCTGGGTTAGGCAAAGAATTTTGGGCTGAGGCTTTGGTCTATGTTTGTTACCTTGTCAACCGCTTACCATCGACTGCTATTAGTGGTAAAACACCATTAGAGAAATGGAATAGAGAACCTGCTACAGATTATGATTCCTTACATGTGTTTGGTTACACTGCATATTATCATGTTAAGGAGTCAAAGCTGGATCCAAGAGCAAAGAAGGCGATCTTTATGGGGATCACCTATGGTGTGAAAGGCTATCATCTTTGGTGTCCAGAAACAAAGAAAATAATCTTCAGCATGGATGTTACCTTTGATGAACTACCATATTGAGAAAGGTGACTTCAGAAAAATTAGAGCAGACAGATGGAACTCCCAAACAGGTGGAGTTTGAAGCAAGAAGAATTGTCCTAGCCAGTAAAGAAACTGATGTTGACTCTCTTATAGTAAAAGAAGAGTCAGATGAAGAAGAGGTTCAGACCCAAGAACCTCCACAGCAACATGAATCAATTGCACTCAGAAAGGGAAAGAGGACCATTAGACAACCTGCTCGTTATGTTGATATGGTCTCTTTTGCATCACCAATTGCAATTGATGGCGTTCCTGCCACTTTTAATGAAGCAGTCCAAAGTTCATAACATAAAAAGTGGAGGATTGCCATGAATGAAGAAATATAATCCCTTCAAAAGAATCAGACGTGCAAACTAGTTAGTCTTCCGAAGGGAAAGAAGACAATTGGGTGCAAGTGTGTATATGCAAAGAAATATGGATTTCCTGACAAGAATATCATCCGCTACAAAGCAAGATTGGTGGCTAAAGGCTACGCTCAAACGGAGGGAGTTGATTATAATGAAGTATTTTCTCCAGTTGTAAAACATTCCTCCATCAGAATTTTGTTGGCTTTGGTAGCGCAGTTGGATTTGGAACTAGTTCAGATGGATATAAAAACTGTATTTTTACATGGAGACTTGGATGAGGAAATCTACATGACTTAGCCAGATGGATTTAAAGTTGTTGAAAAAGAAGAGATGGTGTGCAAATTAGAAAAATCGTTGTACGGATTGAAGTAATCTCCAAGGTAGTGGTACAAGCGATTTGATAAGTTTATGATAGGGCAAAAGTACACAAGAAGCAAATATGATCATTGTGTGTATTTACGCAAGCTACAAGACGGATCCTATATATATCTTCTTCTTTAAGTTGATGATATGCTGATAGCTTCCAGGAGTCAGACAAAAATTGCGAAACTAAAGACTCAATTGAACATGAAGTTTGAGATGAAGGATTTTGGTGAAGCGAAGAAGATTCTAGGCATGGAGATATCAAAGGATAATAAATTGGGGAGGCTTTGTTTGTCTCAGAAAGAATATATGAGGAATGTACTAAATGTTTTTGGCATGAATGAGAAGTCAAAACCAGTTAGTACACCTCTTGCTCCTCATTTCAAGCTTGGTGCATCCATGTCACCTAAGGATGATGCAGAATGGGAATACATGTCAAAGGTTTTGTATGCAAGTGTTGTTGGTAGCTTGATGTATGTAATGGTGTGTACGAGACCCGATATTTTACAGGCAGTTAGGGTTGTGAGCAGGTATATGCATGATCCTGGAAAGGAGCATTGGCAAGCTGTGAAATGGATTATGCGGTATATTCTGAACACCGTAGATGTTGGTTTGCTCTTTCAGCAGGACAAACAAGATGGTCAATGTGTAGTTGGGTATTGTGATTCAGACTATGCAGTTGATTTGGACAAGCGTCGATCAACTACTAGTTATGTGTTTACATTTGCTAAAGTATCAGTCAGTTGGAAGTCCACCTTACAGTCAACAGTGGCTTTGTTTACTATAGAGGCAGAGTATAAGGCAGTTACAAAGGCTGTGAAGGAGGCAATTTGGCTTCAAGGGTTGCTTGGTGAATTGGGAATGGAACAGAAGCACATCAAAGTGCACTGTGACAGTCAGAGTGTTATTCATTTAGTAAATAACCAGGTTTACCATGCAAGGACGAAGCATATCGATGTTCGATGTCACTTTGTACGCGAGATTCTAGAAGAAGGTGGAGTCATAATCCAGAAGGTTCGGACCACTGAGAATCATGCTGATATGTTGACAAAATTGGTAACTACGGTCAAGTTTAAACATTGTTTAGACTTGGTCAATATTGTTACAAATTGAAAGATGAATTTGCAGACATTGCTGAAGATTTGATTTTTTGAGAGATGTGTGTGGAATTTGCCAAGGTGGAGATTTGTTGGTTTTTTGGCAAATTTTGAATCCCACATTGGTTTTGTATAAAGAGGAGGGGAAATTCTTTTGTTATAAATAGAGTTACTCATCCTTAGTTTAGTATCCCACAAATATAAGCCTTATTCTATATTAAAGGCTATTTGTACTCTTTCTCTCTCTTTGTAATTTTTCCTTTATTAGTGAAATATTATTTTAGTAGTGTTCGAGGACGTAGGCATAATTTTGGCCTAACATTGTTAAATTTTGGTATTCACTTTTATGTCTATTTAATAGCTATTGTCGGGTATAGTTATTGTTAATTATTGTCCTATTAAAATTACTTGTCTTGGTAGTTTTGTCTAAGGAGAGTGGGTTTTAAGAGGGACCATTGTGACCCCTCCACTCTTTCCTGGGAATCTACCTTGGGGTGATTTTTAGTACAATTGTTTTCACACTAGTCACCTAGATAATAGTTTTCAAGGTGAATTTATTATTATTGGTGGATATTAACCCGAATTCCACAACAAGATCCTCTCTAATCTTGTAAATTTCCACATTTGATGCCATTCGGGTAAACTTAGCATGTGTTTCAGCATTCATACGTGCCACTCGCTCCTCTTTCAACTGTCGTTTGAACCTTGCGATTGACTTCTTTATCTTTAACTCAGCCAAAGGAAATACCATTATTCATTAAATCATGCTTATAGTTTCATTAATAAACTATGCATGCTAACAACAATTTATAAAAATGAGATATAAAAACAAATAAAATACATATCATCAAATTAACAAATACCATCATATTAATTCGCCTAATATGATCTTCATGTGATTTTTCCACCAGCTCCTTATACTCGAGCATTTCTTGTTTGGAGCGACCTTTCTAAGAAACATCCTCTTCATTTTGGTGACATATAGTACCTTTCTCTATCACATGAATTCAGTCACACATCCCTACTTTACACTAAGTTCCCAAAAGAAAAAACTAACCTTAAGTTCAACAAACAATTCATCAAAAATACGACTGTCCACCGTTTTGTACAATGACAGTCAGTGACAGAACTGAACATTATTTATGGGGGCCATTTAAATTTTTTTGATCAAACCAAAAATATTAAAAACGCCTATCTTATTTTTCTTGAGAAAATAGATAACTAAAGGAATAAATTTGATATGGACATGCACTCAAGTCAAATTTCATCTCGTTTATTAACTGGATATTCCTACATTAACTTACTTTACTTGGGGTCATGTTCTATAAACAAAAGATTAACGTTTTCAACCTCAACAACCAGAGACATAGGAGGAGTGTGTGTGTGCATGTGTGTATGTGTAATTTTTTTTAAAGATTAATATTCATGAACCCACATAATAAATATATATATTTAAAATAAAATCATAAATATTTACTGAATTAAAAATATTTTAAAAAATTTTATCTTGAAGAATATGAACAATTCAAAGAAGATGAACAACCAAAGAGACAAAAATACATAATTTTTTACATTTTAAAATAAAAAATGACAAAAGAAAATGAATTTTAATTGTTTTAAATAAATAATATTTAATTTTTTTCCCAAATTCTAGAGTAATATACATTTTTTTAGGCATCAAATTCTTCTTATTAAATAGAGATGTATTATATTTATAATGCAAATATCGTGACTACTCAATCAATTAATAGGTCACTGGAACAATTAAATTTAATAATTTATTATACACGTCTCTTGAGGGGGGTCAAATTTAATATTTTAATATATATTATATGTATATAAATATATATATATATATATATATATATATATATATATATATATATTCTTTTTAACATTTTGGGGGAGCCACGACCCTCACTAGTCTTAAGGGTGTCCGCCTCTGCTTTCTCAAACAAGAAAAAAACCTTATTTTATCTTTTTTAATGAAGAGTTGGACTGTTAAGTACTTCACTGTCCCCAAATAATTTTCTTCCATGGATACTTGGAAGTTAAACATCAAGTTCCATGCCTTCCTTAGAGAAGAAATTACAAGTGATGAAAGGATACCACAACAAACTGCTTTTAAACACTTGTGACCAAGACCATTAAAAAAATCAGTAGATAAAGTATGCGCACTTAAACCAGCATAGAAAACAATAACCAACAACTCCCTATAATCAGTGGTAAGTACCATATGGTGCGCCAATACTTCAAATTGTGCAGCATCAATACTTTTATATTGAGATTCTTTGTTGTGTTGAATGAGCAAGCCACCAAAAAAAAAATCTCTGATCAATTACCAACGATCAACTTCTAATAACAAGTAGAGCATGATGTCCACTGTCATTGATAGACTAGCCAAGTGCATGATAAAAACAAAGTGGGGGAAAAAACAGAAGTTGAACTGGGAAAGAATAAAATTTCCTCAAGAATCCATGACATCGCAGCACTATCAAGGGTCAACATATCTGGTTTACCAATGATTAAACTCAACAAATGTATATCAGATCCAAATACAGACAATGACAACATGTGAGCAGATTCAATTGCAGAAGAAAATAGCATACCAAAACGAGCAAGAACAGCTTGGAATTAATAGTCTCTATTTTTTTTACAGCAAATGTCAACTTCCTCAAAGCTGTTTGATTTTCCTTAAAAGACAAGATTACCTTGTCTGAAAAGATTAATAAACACGTCATACCTTAGATTACAATCTAAGCAGAATCTGAAGTTTATAAATTATGTTTCCAAATTATATATAAATGTTGTATAATTCCAAACCCTTTTGTCTTCCTTCTCATTTGAAATGAAAAATGAAGACATTGCAAGTTGCAGCTGTTCTTCTCCTGCTCCTGTTTTCTGGTAATTTCATAACATTTATTATCTGATTTTTGTTGAATAATAGAAATGGTTTTTGCGATATTTAATTCATTTGAAAGCAAATAAACTTTTCAGGGCAATCTCTGGCACATACGGTAACATTTTATGTACACAACAAGTGTCCCTTTCCTATATGGCCAGCAACGGCCCCAAACACCGGCCATCAGGTGATAGCCAATGGAGGATTCTATCTCCCTCCAGGCCAGACGCAACGGTTTGAGGCACCCTGGTCGTGGAACGGAAGAATTTGGGCTCGGACGGGTTGCAAGTTCGACTCTAATTGGCAACCGGCTTGTGAAACTGGGGACTGCGATGGAAGGCTCCAATGCAATGGACTAATAGGAATGCCTCCTGCCACTTTAATCCAAGTTGCACTTCAAGGTGATAAAGACAAGCCAAATTTCTACGATGTTAGCCTGGTCGACGGCTACAACCTTCCCGTTTCGGTCGGTACACGACCTTTTTCGACCAAATGCGCCATCGGAGGCTGCTCGAAAAACCTGAACAACTTGTGCCCTCAAGAGCTTCAAGTTGTTAACAAAAATGGGGAAGTTATTGCTTGCAAAAGTGCTTGCTAGGCGTTCAACGTCGACTCGTTTTGTTGCAGAAACAAGTACGGGACACCAGAAAAGTGCAAGCCGAGCTTGTATTCGAAGATATTTAAGGAAGCTTGCCCTTCTTATTACAGCTATGCCTTTGACACGCCTCCACCATTGGTGAATTGTGCCTCAAAAGAATATGTAATTACTTTCTGTCCTTCAGCTTGGGGGACAGATCAAGCTTCCATTCAGAGTTTTTAAAACATTCACTGTTTTTTCTTGCTGATAATACAAGAATAAGGAAGCTTGCCCTTCTTATTACAGCTTCTCTTGTTATCAAAATAATACAAGGATTAACTTTTACGAAATACAGAATAAGGATTAAATTCTAAGAAGTGCTGAAGTATAAGGATCATTGGCTAAGAAGATCTGTAGATTTTCTCAAACTTGCATCAGATTTAGTATAATGTTTTCCTTATCCATTTATTAACATATCGAAATACGTATAAATATATAAAATCTTACGTGTTGAGTGGGAAATACGCATTGAGCACATACGATGATCGAGTAATAGAGTAATTTTGTAACCTTTTAGAATAGACACGATAACATTTTAGATTAAACCCGCCTCAATATAACATTTTTGGTTAGAACCGAAATTATTTCTAATTGTATAACATTTTATAATAGACAAAATAATATCTTATGTTAAAACCGCTACAAATGAACCTTCGGTTCCCCATTGCATATGTGAAATACCTATTATTATTAACAAGTATCACTTCCTCTGTATGATTGATTGTATGTAATGGGAAATGTTCACTTCCATTAACTTTACATATAGCAAATTACATTTCATATTTATAAACAACTTAACATAGACTTCACTTGAACACACTAAACCGTATCAGATTTCAATACCATGTAAGCTTTCACCTGCAATTCTTTTTATTACAAGACAGCAGTTATACGATCATGAATCCGACCACTTTTATTCATGATGCTGGGATGCCTGAAGTAGGCCATCTCGAATCTGGGTGGCAATGTCTCGAACAGCACCGGGTCCGTGGGGGATGAACACCGATGAAGATTTGGAGGCAGCACCAATTTCTTTCATGGTATCAAAATACTGAGTAATAAGGACCATATCCAAAACATCCTTAGCCGTTGTCCCTGGAACATTGACTGAGAATCCAAGCACACTGTCCCTTAGACCATCGACGATGGCCTGTCGTTGCCTCGCGATCCCCATGCCCGACAGATACTTCGACTCGGCCTCTCCCTCTGCTCTTTTTATCTGTATAATCTTCTCCGCCTCTGCTTTCTCGTTTGCTGCAACTCTCATCCTAGCAGCTGTGGGAAAACAATGAGAAAATCTGATCAAATTCGGGAAATAAAAGGTCGGACCGGAGATCGAACCGGACGGATTACTGTGATAAAACTCACCGGCATTAATTTCGTTCATGGCCCTTTTGACATGTTCATCTGGTTCTATATCAACAATGAGAGTCTGGACAATCTCATATCCATAAGCAGACATAGCCTATTAAATCACAATGAAAATCAATAGGGCTGTACAGTAAGAAGTTCGAGCTTGATTTGGCATACGAATCAAAAACTGTTTTGAGTTCGATCAATTACCTTTTCGAGCTCATCTTCGACGGCTTTAGCAATATCGTTCTTTTGCTCAAAAGCATCGTCCAGATCCAGCTTTGGAACGCTTGCCCTGATAACTACGTAGAGAAGAAAAATTTTGAGTCTCTTAAGGTACCATTTGGCAACAAAGGAAGGATATTAAATTAAACACAAGTTGTTTGTGACACCATCAAAGACATAGGCTTGAATTTGTGTCCTGGGGTTGCTAAGTTTGTAGAAAGCATCATTTGCCTTCTCAGCCAAGGCACGGTATTGTACCGACGCAACGACGTTGACGAACACATTGTCCTGCACCAACGATATTTCGAGTCGAAAACATTAGTACAATAGGGACTGTTTTCTGGTTTTTTAATGAACAAGGATCAAACCTTAGTCTTGGTCTCGCAACGAACATCGAGCTGCTGTAACCGGAGGGTGAGATGACCTGCGAGTTGGCTCCCAAGGCACCAAGGCAAGCAATGGCATCCCGGCTCTAGTACGTCATCGAACTTTCCGAATCTTTCCTTTATGGCCACCGTAGATTGGTCTACTTGGACACAACAGAAGAGGTTGCCCATCCTCTTTCTCTTCTTCAATCTTTATGTTACTCTGTGGACAAACAACATCAACAGAAATTTAGCAACAACATAAGAAACCCACAAAAACCAGAAACACACACATGTAGCATGCTGTCTCAAGTTTCTTACCCTTTTCTATGATTATGTCTGAAAACAAATGGTTACTTGGGTGTACATTGGACTATAACAAGGATGACATATAAATAATGCCCACGCAAGCCATTTTCAACCAATGAAAGCCAGCAGACTGTGTCTAGCTTAATCCCATTTTGACATCAGGAATAGATGGATGGGTGTTGCTGTGCGGTCGTATCTTTAAAATTTTAAAATTTTCATATAATTAAAGTATTTTTTATTTATGATTTAATTCCGTATCTCTTAAAATTTTACAATTTCATATCCTTAAAATTTTAATATAACTTCTTCAATTCACATCCAACCATAAAATCTGATGCAACTCCGATCGAGGCTTAATAAACGAGCATATTTAATTGTGAATGGATTTTGAAATGCTTAATGTCAACCCAACAAACAAAATTAAAATGAAGAATGAACCAATACATTGGTTTTGTTTAATAATTTAATGATGGGAATCTTTTGTGCATTTTTGGAAATTTCTTGACATTGTTGGATGTATACGTCACAGTATCGGGTTGCACGCCATCTATTTTTACAATTTGTTTCGACGATGACACAAATGAACGGATATTTCAGCAATGTTGAAAGACTCGGACAGAGACATCGATTATATCCTTAGTTTTTTGCACTTAATTTTAATATAAGATTAAGGAATCGAATTCGTCGAGTGATTTTAACTATTAAAGAGTGTGTTATTTTCTAAAAATATTTTGAATTAAACAATTACCTCTATAAAATATATCTATATTATTAATAACTGAAAAAATTATAAATATATAAATTTTATAATCATCTTAAATCAATTTTAGTTCGGGTTTAAGGGTCCACTAAGATCTAAAATGTCAAACGCAAGGAAACAAGAGGGGAAATGGGTGGAAATTGCAAAGAATATTACATTTAGATCTAAAATGTCTCTTACAATAATATGCTAAAATGTTAAAATAAATATTTTAAAGGTTCATCAATCATAAAGTCAAGAATAATACTTTAAAAAATATTTTTAAAGACATACACCTATATATTAATAATATAAATATTTTAATGAAAATATACAGAAATAAAATCTTAGGATGTACATCATCAATAAAATATATAATTAATTGAAGAAAAAAAATTAGATTGAGCACGTGCCTACTCGTTGTGGGTCCACCAATGTCTGAAAATAAATTGAATAATTTAATTTATGTATTATTATTATTTGATTAACTATTAATATATTGTTAATTTGTTCCATTCATAATATTAGAAATCGAAGTCCTAATCTTGTTTTAAATATTTAGTTTCTTATTCACTAAATCAATTAATTGTATATATTCTAATATTATTTGATAGACGATATTAATTAATTTTTATTAAATAAATAATAAAGTTAATGATTTTTAAAAATAAAATAATTATATAATATTCTTTGAAAAACTTAAAAATTTTGGAAGTAGTATTTTTGTAAATTTTAAAAATTAAAAAAATAATTATAGAATATTCTTTGATAGTATACGATTTACCTCTTTTGGTTAGGATGAAGACCATCATAACTATTTATAGGTTCACACATTGAATAGATCTTATTGTCAAATAATAGATTTAATTATGACATATTATATGGGCTTATCGATGGTTATGTTAAGGGATTGTAGTTGGTCAGAGAATGGATCTCCAGAAACATTTACGAACTTTTGAGACTTCGAAGAACTTCGGAGGATATAACACTCCAGAGATATAACAACGGAGATACAACCTAACTTGACGTGCGAAGGTCTTTCACAGATAATTGTTATGAAAAAAACAGAATTATAATAACTATAGATAGTTAACCCTTTTGACTTAATTCCACAAACAATGTCCTTACAGTCATAATTTTCCAGACTAACTGGATCTAAAAATATAACTAATAAGAAATGTCACATGTTAGTATATAATGAAAACAGTGATGGATGTACATAGACCTACAGTGAAAATATGTCTACATTGAAATTTAAATTTATTTATATTAATTGTTTATTTTACTGATAATATTTGTTCTGAAATTTTATTTATGTTACTTTTATACAATTTTTATTATCATTAAAATATATATATATATATATATATATATATACCTTAAAAAATATTTCTATTCCAACTGCGTATGAAACTGATAAATCATAAATGTTCATGGGAGTGTATTTGTGTGCCTTTTACAAACAGTCAATCCCATGTAGTTGGAAAACACATTGTAATGATACTGGCAAACTAAAAGCACGGCGAGGAAGTCAAATCATTTGAGATACATGTAAAGCAAACAAAAATCAAATATCACAAGAAGAAATTTCCTACGTCTGCTGACTGCTTCTACGTTAAATGTGAGGCTCGTTCGTACTTGCCGTCTATGCTCAGGGCGTGGTATGGTTTTTGGTACTGTATAAATTCTTAAAAAGGGTCTATTTTTTAGATATATTCGATTTTGGAGCTATAATAGTGGTGTTTTTTTGACAAACGCCGCAATAAATCCATCTATAATAGCGTTTTATCAATAAAGCCGCAATAATAGTGGCGTTTTTTTAAAAAAACATCGCAATAGGTCCATCTATAGTGGCGTTTATTGAAAAAACACCATTATATATATATATATATTTTTTAGGCCTGCGCGGTCATGTAGTTTGCGCCGCCCCAGCTACGGCCTTGTCTCAAACATTTGTATTTATTAAGTGGTGTAAGTAGCAAATCGCAGGTCAATTTTTTTTTATCTATTAAGCTTTCATAATTTTTAAAATTTTAAAGTTCAACGTCATTCGGACAACTGTAATAAATGATTATTGATAAATTCACGTGATTTATCATAATTAAATATACCATTTGATACCTATACCTCTATAAATTTATAAATAATTATTATGACTTTAGACTAACATTAACATAAAAACTATCATGCACCACTGAATATAAAGATACGACCATTTTCTCTCTCTTAATTTACAATTCATCATATCTTCTTCAACTTATTAGATTACCTATAACAAATTCCATTCAAATAAAAATGGATAAATCGTTTAAAAACACTACAATAACAATTTTCCCTTCAAAAAATTTACTTTTGTTTTTGATGTTGACGATAAGATGTAAAATTCAGCCCTAAATTGAAGAGAACCCTACCACAACTCTCGACAAAATTCGACTTCTTAGCATTCACTTTAGTATATGTATGTAATCTATGTATATATATGTAAAGAGAAACCGCTAGAGTTTTCAGTGGTGTTTTCAGTGGTTCTCTCCACTAACCCTAAAATAAATAGATTGATCAAGGTTTCGCTCTCAGCCAAACCAATTAAAGCCCACCTTTTTTTTTTCTTCTGTTTCTCTCGCTCGACAGTCAAGCTCATATACAGCTGATTCCCCCCCTTTAAATCTTATATTTCCAGGTGATGTTCGTTCTTCTTCTCTAGTCTACACTCAGGTTTACGTAACCCTAAAACTATTAATTTTTCTTTTTGATTGTTCGGTTATGCTTGAAATTCCTTTCTCTGGATATGCAGTTTTTAGTATCCGACTACCGAAGAGAGAGCTTTGAATGATTTTATTTCAGTTGTATACTTTTTCTCTTATTTTTGAGTTGTATGTGGACTTTATTTGTTTTATTTATTTAAATTGTTTATGGTAAATCTTAGACTTTAATTTCTTCACTGTAATTTAGGCATTGTCATTTTCTAAGTTTTTTCCCTGAGACTTTTGTTTTTTATGTTAGTTCCTGAATAGGATCCTCTCGTTTCAGAAGATGAAGGCGTGGTCGTTTTGCTAATTTGTTGTTTGCTTAATGTTGTCGTGGATGATGCAGGGGTTTGTAAGAAGATAAGCTTTTCACTAATAATTTAACGGGTTTAATCAGGGCAGTAAAAAGGTTATGCCCGATATGGAAAATGAAAGTTCCAAAGTCTCGCGAGCCGAAGAAATAAAAAACCAGGCTAATGAAGCATTTAAAGGTACCAACGTAGTGAACATGTAAATGTCAGTATCACGGATATTGTTTTTGTTTCATTGAATATTGATTGGGTTTTAAGTGTTTGGCTCTGCATGGAGAAAGTTTAGATTGTGGATGTTTTAATGAATGTATCGTTATTACGATAATGATGCTTGCAATTTCATTGTGTTTAATTGTGTTGAAGTTGTTGTTTTGCTTTTTTTTTCAGCATACAAATATGGTCAGGCTATTGACTTGTACACACAGGCAATAGAGCTAAACAGTCAGAATGCAGTATACTGGGCCAATCGTTCATTTGCTCACACCAAATTGGAAGAGTATGGTAGTGCCATAAGGGATGCTACTAAGGCGATTGAAGTGGATCCTAAATATTCAAAGGCATGCTTTATATAGTGAAGTGATTCAGCCTTTTATACAATATCTATTTTTGTTCTTGTTCTGATGGTTCTCCAACTTACAGGGTTATTACAGACAAGGTGCTGCTTATCTTGCAATGGGGAAGTTTAAGGAAGCACTGAAGGATTTTCAACAGGTAATAGGGCTATAATATTGCAAAATTTGTTTGTTTCATGTCTTTGTTTAACTTATTTCATACAGAGGGTGGTGCCGCTGTCTGAAATATATTTCTCATGCATCTTTTTTGCATATATATTTTTCATGTAATATGCGTAGCAATTATTTTTCATTTTATTAGAAATTCTCTTTGTTTTAATTTACACTTTAGGATTTATTGTAGAATGTTTCCTCCATTTAAGACTGAGCTTCACAAGTTGTTTCTCCTTCTAGTGTTAGAGGTAAGGTTCGGTTGTTTTTTCATAAATGCCTTAATCGACTAACCTCCAACTGATGGACAAACATAGGTTTAAATGACCTAACTGAACAAACTTTGCATATGTCCGTTAATTCAGTTACCAACTTTTTTTTCCGATGTTTTTTTAACTTTTTGGGTTTATTATAAATTCAGGTTGGATTTAATTTATATTATATAGTATACATTACAAATATATTTAAATTTAATAAAAATAATATATTAAGTTGATTAAGTTGGTTGGTATGTTTATTAAATTCAATAACTAATAACCGACCTAAACTTACCCATATTAACAGAAGCCTATACCAAGTTAACCAAAGGAAGCATCTTAACTGAAACTGACAAAAACAGTTGTGGATGTTAAGTAGCCAACTTTTGCTCACCCCTAATTAGAGGTTGTATGGGCTAGTGAAATCTGCTTGGTAGCTCTAGATTTGATATAACTTTACGTTTCTCATTTTGTGAGGTGCACATATGCATACATTTACATTTTAGCAAGAAAACGTGTGTGTTGATGTTGTTTTACTTGACATCATCATGTACTGCCATGTTTCTTTTTTTTCCTCTCCTGGGAAATTCATATAATTGCTATACATTTAATGTGTGAAATGTGATTTGTGATGTCTGAAATATATTTTCTTCCCTCTGGAATCAGGTCAAAAGGATTTGTCCCAATGATCTTGATGCTACAAAGAAATTAAAGGAGTGTGAGAAAGCAGTAATGAAATTAAAGTTTGAAGAAGCAATTGCCGTACCTGAGTCTGAGAGGCGTTCCATAGCTGACTCTATAGACTACCGTAGCATAAGTATTTTCTTTTCCCCATTATATCTACAATTTATTCCTAATTTATTTATTTTTAGGCGTCTTCTAGAAATGGTCTTCCACATTGGCATTAACGAAATTGCTTTCTCTTTTTCTTTTTAAGTCGTGGAGCCACAATATTCAGGTGCAAGAATAGAGGGAGATGTTGTTACTTTGGACTTTGTTAAGAAAATGATGGATGACTTCAAGAACCAAAAGTGTTTGCATAAAAGGTACGTCTAGTAACTGCAGTTATGGATTTTGTTCCTCCTAAATGACGCTTTTTTTTTGCTGAATAATCTTATTGCCTTATTGGTACAGATATGCATTCCAGATTGTCTTGCAAATGAGAGAAATGTTGCAGGCTCTGCCATCTCTTGTTGACATTAATGTTCCTGATGGTAGTCATTTAACTGTCTGTGGTGACGTGCATGGTCAGGTAATTAACAGAGGATAAATGATTTACTGCATTTAAGAGACATGACGTATATAGTGTCACCATTCATTGATGTTGGACGCAGGTAGCTATGATACTGTCTTGAGTACCTATCATTTACAGCTATGATAACATAGCTAACGGTGGAATAATTTGCATGCTTCATTTTGCTTTCTTTTAGTGCTTTTTGTTTATTAATGTGTTTATTGTTGTTCCTTTTCTTGTAGTTCTACGATCTGATAAATATTTTTGAGCTTAATGGTCTCCCTTCAGAAGAGAATCCATATCTCTTTAATGGTGACTTTGTGGACAGAGGATCTTTCTCTGTGGAGGTCATCCTCACACTATTTGCATTCAAGTGCATGTGTCCATCAGGTGAAATCCACTTCCAACATTATTCTACCTCAAATTTCCTCCTTGGCCTTTACATGAATTGCGTTAGTCCTTTGTTTCCCTTTTCTGCTAATTTAGATATTTAGATTTATCTTTTCCATTTTTGTTTTCTTATTTGCTTAAATGAAATTGTCACTGGAGTATTAAGGAGCTTTATCTGAGCACTTCTTTTAGGACTCTAATAATGGATCTTCTTGATTGGAGATTGCATATTGAGCTTCTTGATTGGACACTCCCTAAACTGATAATCTCTTCTGGAAGCTCTCTGATGTGATCTTCAGGATTTGTAGTTCCCTATTAGTATGATATATATACAATTTTGGTTTCACTTTGTTGCATCTAACTTGGGAATTTTCAGCTATTTATCTTGCTAGAGGCAACCATGAGAGTAAGAGCATGAACAAGATATATGGTTTTGAGGGTGAGGTCAGGTCCAAGCTGAGTGAGAGATTTGTGGAACTCTTTGCCGAAGTATTCTGTTATTTGCCTTTGGCTCATGTAATAAATCAGAAGGCTTTTGTCATTCATGGAGGCCTTTTCAGTGTTGATGGGGTGAAACTATCTGACATCAGGGCAATAGATCGGTTTTGTGAGCCTCCTGAGGAAGGTAAACTGCAAACGGTGTTTTCCTTAAGTTTCTGTGAAGTTTGGTGCAATTTAACATGTAAAGTGACACTATTGATTTTTCTTATTCTTAAGTTAAGGAACTATATCGTCTACATTTATTTATTCAGCCTCTTATTAGTTTGGAATATGAAGGTTTCTCCAGTATTATCCCTATTTTATCTGTATAATATAGTAATGTGGCTTAGGAGGCATGGACCATTTTTATAAATTTCAATGCCCTTTTGGAAGGCTTAGATATCATTTCTACCTTTTTTATATAAAAAAATCCTAATAAAGTTAAACTATAGAGTACAATTTTGCTTGAATTGTTTTCATGTCCTTTTCTACATTTTCTTTGTTGACAAAATTAAACTTTATCATTTGTAGTCAGTATGACTATTGATTATTATTTTTTTGATAAAAAATGCATATAATATAATCTGCTTCTAAGGGGAATCAAACCGATGACTTGTAGCAATATGACTATTGATTATAATTAAATTCAGATGTAAAATGCACATGAAGATATGGTAATCTAAAATTGCAAATCTATGAAGAAGCTGATACAAATTTAGGAGCAAAAAGGTAGTGTAAAATAATGATATGTTCTTTTGAAATTGTCTCATGGTTCTTTGTTGATTTCTTCAGGGTTGATGTGTGAATTACTTTGGAGTGATCCGCAACCTCACCCAGGACGAGGCCCTAGCAAGAGGGGAGTAGGTCTTTCTTTTGGTGGAGATGTGACAAAAAGATTCTTGCAGGATAACGATCTAGGTACTTATCCGTTTGTTTGTGTGCTTTGTTTTTAGTGAAAAAGGGAAAAAAAAAGGGGGAGGAGAGGAAATTGATGATTGATTTTGGTGAATACCTGTTTAATTGACAGATTTAGTTGTGAGGTCTCATGAAGTGAAAGATGAAGGTTACGAGATTGAGCATGATGGTAAACTTATTACTGTTTTCTCTGCACCAAATTACTGTGATCAGGTAATTTAATCTCAAATGATTTCTTCATAAATAGGATCATTCGTTAAGTTATCATCAGAGCTTGTGTAATCACCTCATATGAATATTTCTGTATGCAAAGAAGTTGCTTTTGTCTCTCATCTTGCAAGCTTCATATGGATAGTTCATGTGCACGCTTCTGACTTGTATTATATAAATTAGCTGACCCTATTCCATATGTAATGGGGTAAGGGGAGGTAGGGTAGTAGGTTGCCCCCAACGCTAGGTTGAGAGCAACTTCCGTGGAATACCTCCGGCAATTATGAATTGCCCACCGTGGGACTCGATCCCACGACCACAAGGTTAAGAGCAACTGACTTGTATTATATAGTCTTTGTTAAATGCATTATGTGTTTCCTCGAGTGCACATGTTTCCCCATTTCATTCTGCATTTTTACTGTCATTTTCAACTATACGGCAATATTAAATAGCTTCAGGCATAGTGTAGGGAACTTCAAGTTCCCACTAGTATTTGATGATATTTTGTCCAGAGGGTTCGTCCTAGAACCCTTATATGGCCTCAGGCACAAAGGTAAAAAAGGCTAGCTCAAGTTGAAGTGCAATATTTATGTGTGAGTTTGTGTGTGTTGATATATATGTATTCAAAGTTTAAGACAATAAATTCTAAAGTGGGGTCTATTTTATCTAAAAACATGCAATTTTTTATTAGTCAATATTCATGAATTCATTATGGTCCATGTCTATAGTTGAATACTATTATAGAATTTGGTACTATCCATTTCTTACAAGGTCTGCTGTTGTTTTATTTGTTTCTGTTTGAAGTTGAAACAGAGTACTTTGGTTGGAAATTCTATTATTCGGTGTTGTATGTCTGCCTCCTGATTTGCTTGCTATTTTAGATTATATATTTTGTAGTCTAACACGACTCATCAAATGGTTTGTTTCAGATGGGTAACAAGGGTGCACTTATTCGATTTGAAGCCCCTGATTTGAAGCCAAATATTATTACATTCTCAGCAGTGGTTAGTAGTTTGTGATGTTTTTGTTATTGTCCACTTATTGTTGTTCTTAGGAAAATGACCATGAATGGAAGCTTGAGTGACTGATTTACATACCTGATTTGCTGCACAGCCTCACCCTGACGTCAAACCGATGGCTTACGCAAACAACTTCCTCAGAATGTTCCAATAGTTATACCCGAGTCATGCTCCATCTCAGTCCAAATTTTTTGCTACAAAATCTTTGCAATTGCTCTGTGGTACAATTTGTGTCTACTGCTCGGTTGTATGATTTTTCGCAATACAAGAGCCAAGTTTGTTCCTGTCGAGGAGCTGCCGGAGAAGCGGTAAATGTTGATAAATTCCCGTTGTGGTTTTATGTTATTGTTTCTATTCATTTCAGGCTTTAATCAAATCGAAAAGGATGGGCAAAATGCCGTTAAAAGATTTAAAAAAAGATGAAGAAACACTTGCTGGCATTGGCAAGGAGTCTGCTGATAGCATTTAAATATAGGTGATCTCTTCCGTCTTATTGTATACGTTAGTGTTTTATACTTTTGAAATTTTTCAATAAAATTTTCTAGTGTTTCTTGGATGGCTTTTTACTTAATTAGAAAGGTTACAAAATATTTGTCTGAATTGTAGTGTTACAAAATATATATCAGGATAAGATCCTGTTAAACAATATATAACTTGTTTTAGTCTTACAGATTTAAAACCGTTGGATAAGTGAAAATAAACGGTTAAGCTCTTTATTCATTTTTTTTCTCAATGAATAACTTTTCATTTTTTACCATTAATTTCAGTTGTTTATTTTCTCTCATCATACTTAATTTGTTTAAAACTAAAAAGAAAATTACATTTTGTAATTGAATTTTATCCATGTATGTATATATCTCTATTTAAAACAAGTAACGGACCAACATAAATTAAATTAAATCAGCTTGGCCCTCAAGGTGGCATGCATGCATATGAGAACTTTAAGAATATTACTGAGTCATAACATTTTGTATTAGGTTTCGAAATTTGTGATATTTCATATGTCTCGCCCAAGGTTATCTCGACCTTTAGATTTCAAACCAAATTCTATACTTATTGGTACGATATAATAGATCTCAAGTTTTATTATACTTTATTGAATCAAATTGAATAAAACAAAGATTAAAGTCAAAATAAATTATTTGAATCAAATATTACTACTGTATTTAAATTTGATTCACGATCACAAGTTGATTTGTGTACTATCAAATACTATTTAATTTAAACTCAAATAATTTAAGAATACATGTAACGTATCTCATTTCACATCCGAATCACGATCGCACTTTAATCTTCACAAAAGTAACTGTCTGATAAGAAAAGATGCTGTCACTGCTCACATCACAACATAAACAATTTCTTACATATGAAGAATTAGCGGTTATGGAAAAAAATCCATAAATAGTTTCTAAAGAAAAATAAAGCAGGTATCAACATACTGAAAATCCCAACTTCTCAAAGTTTCTTCTTTTTCTTCTTCTGATTCATTGATGAAACATAAGAAAAAAAAGGCTAAACTTCTGTCGACTTAGTCTTGTGGAGGAGGGTTAAATACGTAACCAGTTTTGGGGTTAACATTTGGCCTTGGATCTTTATAATCCATCATTCCAATCATTTCCCTTGATGTTTCTGCATTTTCCTGCTATCCAAACATAAAAAAACACCAGTTTTAGAACCTAAAACCTAACGAAATTCAAGAGAGAAAAAAGACCAACCTCCAGTTGAGCGGTGGATCCTTCAAAGACACCAGCCCCCATCAATTTCCTGGTACGAAATCCTAAGAAAAAACAACAAAAAAAGGTTGTACAAAATCAAAGAAATACATGAGAGAAGATACAAAGTAATACCTTGAGAGAAGGAGAGAAGCAAAAGCATTGAAAGAAGAAGTGATTTCAGAAAGCAAGAACGACCCATTGTTTGTTGAACAACTCTGTGAAATGGGTAGTTCTCGGCTTTTGAAAAATGAGAAGAGAGTTGAGGTTTTTGTCGACAGCTTCTTGAGCTTCTTTTAAGTTTCTGCAGATACAACGGGTGGGGTATTTTAAAGCATATTTTTTACTTCATATATAAAAAGAGTGCGGGAAGGCTTAGATAGTACACATTATATGTATATATATATATAAATAAACTTTTTATTTTATCATCTAACCTTAAAAAAATTATTATCATTCCGTTTTTAAATTTTTATTTAAAATTTTCTTAATTTATTAATAGTATATATACAACTTGCAAACGTAATTGCTCGAACTCATTATATTTAATAAAAATAGTTTTCTGTTTTAGTGTTGATATCTTTGGATGAATTCATTTAATTATTATTTTAAATTCGTTTAAACTTAAGATATTTAATGAATCTTTGAAGAATATCATAGTTAAAATAATATAGTTTAAAACACTTGCACATATTAAAATTCAATATCATAAATGAGGCTGGTTTTTTCAGTGCTTTTCAAAACCCACTGTGGAAGAATCTTTGGCAATCCTGTGTGCAGGTGAGCATATACTTTGCACACAGCAACTTATGGGTATTTTCTTATTATATTGTCAAAATAAATAATTGTTTTAAAAGACAAGCTGAAAGCACAAAACAATTGGGCTTTCATTGCTGGCAGATCAGCTCCAATATTTACACATTTATCTGCCATCTTAATATAAAATATAAAATATAAAATTTACTTTCTGTTGATTATTATTTGATATATTGACGATGAAGTTTTAATTTTCATTAGCGGTTTTAGTTCATCATCGTTTATATTATTTAATTATTTATTTAAAATATTCATTAAATACTATGATGACAGATTAAAATTGTTAAAAAGTTTTTCTCCTAAAAGTTTACACCGTTTGATTGTTCCTTTTTTTCTTCTTCTTTTCTTATATCATATTTTTCTTTTTCTTTTCCTTTTTCTATTTGTATTTTAATTTTTAATTTTTCTATTTTTATGAAATGTTTATTCTCCATCTTTTGATATATTTTAGTCTTATTTATCAATTGTTTGATTTTCCCCTTTAAATTTATTAGGGTTTGATTTGATGTCGTCTCTACTGATCAAATTGTCACTTATTTTTTTTCATATTGATATTCTTTGTTTTGAACCATCGGATTGGATTTAGATACACATTTTGAGTTCGGAGATAATTTTTTCACGACGCTCGATTCTGATTTGTAATTGTCGATGATCTTTTAATAGTTTGAACTCATGTTGTGGGTCGTTTGTCGACGGAGTTAAATCTATTTGTAACAATCTTTTGTTCGGATTTTTTTGGATGAGTTTTTTAATCCTTTCTTTGTATAGTCATTGTATAATCTAAAGTAACTAGTTTGTTATGTCAATGGTCATAAGAATATATCATAATTATGTGCTTAATTTATGTTTATGATCGTAATTCATAAACTTCATTATTAAGATATTTTTTAATAAAATTAGTGGATTTTATTTACATAAAAACTTGTTCGTAAAAGAAAAAAAATAAAACTCAGCCATTATTTTGTAATAAGAATGACACTTTTTAAATATAAAATAAACTTTTTTATAACGTTAACTTCTTCTACATATATGTAACACATTAAGCATTTGTTTTTACAACAATTCACCTAAGCTAGGCCTATAGTTGATGAATGTGCAGGTTATAAAGACTGCTCCGAATAGTACATAGAAGAAGATCATAAATATGCAGATTTTGATTTTTTCTAATTTTGATTTTGGCTAAGAATCAGAAATAAAAAGGATTTAACTTATTATGTGATTTTGATGATAATGTTTTTACAACAATTCACCTAAGCTAGGCCTATAGTTGATGAATGTGCAGTTTATAAAGACTGCTCCGAATAGTACATAGAAGAAGATCATAATTATAATGCAGATTTTGATTTTTATTCTAATTTTGATTTTGGCTAAGAATCAAGAAATAAAAAGGATTTAACTTATTATGTGATTTTGATGATAAAAAAAGAGTTAGATTCGAATAATCGTGTTTCACCTGAAAGGCGTGTGTACATTATTAATAAATTTTAAAATTATAAACAAATATTGCATTGTAATCGATAATCACCTTAGACTAAGGTATGTGATCATAATAATTTTTATGAGTAATTCTAGATAAAATGATTTTTTTATCCTTCAACTTTACTGGTTTTGTGATTTTAATTCTTAAATTTTTGAATAAACTAATTAAATAGTTATTAAATTAATTTAAAATAAAAATCATAATTTAAATACATATAATAAAATTTTTATTATTTTTTTACTATATTTTCGCGCCGTGCTATCGCATTTACATTATAATATTATTAGGTTTATAATTAAATGGACTTCAATAGTAAGGGGAAGAAACCCTGAAAGGCCCAAAACATAAGACGTTGAATCCATACGACAAAAAGAGCCCTTAAAAGGACGAGGAAGGTAACATTAGGGTTTTGGGTTTCGGTATATATAACCTCTTTCTTCTTCGGTGCGTAGGTTTGTTCCTTTTTTTTTCTCTAACTTCATTTTCTCGGCGCTCGTTCTCGTCTCTGTCGAGAAACCGGCGCCGTCATGGTTCACGTCAGTTTCTACCGCAACTGTAAGCTATTGTTCCTTTTCGCCTACCCTGCCTTCATTTTTTTACGTGATCTGTAGTTTCAAATTAGTTTTATTAGTTTTACCATTTTTTATATTGTTTTTGGATTCTCGGAAATCAGTGTCTGTATTTACTATTTATTCAGTATAATAAAATGGTTCTCTCTTTTAATTAATAATCTGCGTTTATTTTGTTTGAGATAGTTTAGGATGTTAGCCGCGATCTTTTGCCTTGGATTTTGTTTCATTCTTAGTTCTTAGTAGCCGCTTTGATCTATTTGTTTATTTATTCAATCCAATTGCTCTTTTGGTAATTAATGAGAATATTATAGTATAATCGACTTAAAGTAGTTAGAAAAATTCCGTGTTAGAGGTCTCAAGTTTGAATTTTGCAATGACGGGGTTTTGATTTATATGTGGAAGAGTATTGTTTATGATTCTGTAGATCATACAATGTAAATAACAGTATAATTTTGTTTATTCGTTTTCCGGTATTTTTGGATCCTATTTGAGCAAATATACTTGTTTAGATCTATGATTTTGCTGTTTTTCCTGATTTAATTGAAAAAAGTGAGGGTTTTGATTATTTGTTCATTGGAGGTTATGTAATCGGACCCTGACTTCCTAATTAGTGGACTCACTTTAATTTATTATAGATGAAATTGATGTATGATTGTAGATGGGAAGACCTTTAAGAAGCCAAGGCGTCCCTATGAAAAGGAGCGATTGGATGCAGAGTTGAGGCTTGTAGGAGAGTACGGACTCCGATGTAAGAGGGAGTTGTGGAGGGTTCAGTATGCATTGAGCCGTATTCGGAATGCTGCCAGGGATCTTCTCACTCTTGATGAGAAGAACCCTCGTCGTATTTTTGAAGGTGAAGCACTTCTTCGTAGGATGAACAGGTATGGACTTTTGGATGAGAGCCAAAACAAGCTTGATTATGTATTGGCTTTGACTGTTGAGAACTTTCTTGAACGTCGCTTGCAAACACTAGTGTTTAAGTCTGGGATGGCCAAGTCGATCCACCATGCTCGTGTTTTGATTAGGCAAAGACATATCAGGTAAAGACTACATTTTTCTTGCTATAAACTTGTCAGGAGTTTATTTTTTGCTGTGTTTATATATTGATGATTAGGTTGTTTCAGCAGTTTCATATATTCGTGGATGCATGCTTCTGTTGTCCGAAAGATAATTTATGGATGCTCTAAATGTCGCATCTATATTAGACATGACACAATTACATGACACTGAAAAACAAGGACATTTTAAAAATATGACATGATATGGAGACATGAATGTCTTCAAAATATATGAATATGATATCTCATCTATACATGAATTGCTGCGTCTATCTTGATGTTTGTTGTTTTATCATCGATAGGGTTGGTAGGCAGGTGGTGAACATCCCATCTTTCATGGTGAGGGTTGACTCTCAAAAACATATAGACTTCTCTCTCACTAGTCCATTCGGAGGCGGCCGCCCTGGAAGAGTGAAGCGAAAGAACCAGAGAGCAGCTGCCAAGAAGGCTTCTGGGGGAGATGGCGATGATGACGAGGATGACGAGTAAACCTTAAGGCCATTACCCCACAACTAGGAACCCTTACTAGACATGGTTTTAGTTTTGTTTCCAGATCTTTACTGCAGTGGATTCTGGTATATGTTTTGCTTTAAGTATTCTGTTTTGTTTTCCCCCTTGTTTGAAGTTATTTTGGGTAATCATGTTGTTTAAAGATTATAATATTTTAATTTTGGTCATTTTAGTGCACAATGTTATCTATTTTAGCCAAAATCGAATAAAGGACCTACCCTTCTTTTTATTGGTAGTGGCATATTTTGTATTATCTTCAAATAATTGGAATCATCTCCTCTATCAATAATAGACATGTGACTTTAACAACCTCTTTATTCAATACATATTTATAAATAGATGGTTGAGATTAATAGTAAAAAAATATTTTGAAAATAATTATATAAAATCTGAAAATGAAAAAATTTAATGGATGCTGATCACATATATTATTAGTGTGAAGTTAATCTGATCAAGATATAAGGTGTAGAATGTGTACATTCCATTAGGGCTCTCGTGTAATAGTTTATATATTTTTTAAATAAAATCATTTAAAATATGTTTAGAATGCTTTTTAAAACAAAAAATGCTTTAAAATCATTTTGATGTTTTAAAAAAAATATTTTAAACATTTTAATAAAATATTTTACGAATGTTTTTAATTAAAATTATTTTAATGATTTTAAATTAATTATTATAATACTGATTGAGTTTAATATCACGTTTTAATAAGATATTTTTATCTTTACATACTTTTATATATTCATCAGATAAACTAATTAAAATGAAGGATTAAACATGGACTAATGCATGGTAGAGCCAAATGGAAGGTGGTGAGGCTCTAACATCCACAAAAGTCTTTTAGATAATTTGATTGTAAGTCTAATAATTTAAATTAATCAAATTAAAATTTTTGAGTTTAAGTATTTCTTAAATGCTTACGCCTTTTGATTTCTCAATATTCAATCTTAATTTCATTATTAGATTAATAAATTTATATTTAATTATATTCTTTCTATCTATAGTCATAATCATAATTAATTTTTGTAACTATTTTCTTTCGAGTAGTATGAAGAGATTACAAGATAATATATATTCATAATTTTTTAAATCATCTATTGATAATGCACACATACTTTACAATTATTCGAACACAAGATTTCTACCACTAGAGCCACTCAGGGAAAGAGCCAAGATCCTAACTCGGGATGAGTAAAGTGTAATTTTTCTAAAAATAAGGGAAAATTCATAATTATCTCATAAATATTTAAATTTTATATACAAATTAAATATATAAAAAAATTACCGGGTTGGGGGCACAACCCTTCTCAGGTATCTAATATATCCATTCGTGAAGACACTTGTAGGTTGTGTTTATAAATATGTTTTTAAAAGAATAAAAAATCTCCAAACCAGTTAGAACATGAACTTGAACCTGTAAAATTCATGTCACACCAGACAGGGATAGGATAAAACAGCAAAGGAAATCTGTTGGTTAGGAGACTTGAAAATGGTGTTGAATGGAGAAGGCATCTTATAGGAACGAAGAAGCAATCAAATAATTACTAAAAAAATGTTTCAACGACGGCCACAACAAAAGAATCTTTTAGACCCCGACGCACTATTTCGGTTCATATCCTGTCTGGAGTAGCCGGAGCACTTGCTGGTGCATGTAGCATAGCAGTAGTTGAGTTCGTTTCTGTTTCGATCCAAAGAGACATCGAAAAAAGCTTCGAAACATGCATGCATGCACGCATGCATGTATGTATGTATGTATGTATGTATGTATGTATGTATGTATGTATGTATGTATGTATGTATGTATGTATGTATGTATGTATGTATGTATGTATGTATGTATGTATGTATGTATGTATGTATGTATGTATGTATGTATGTATGTATGTATGTATGTATGTATGTATGTATGTATGTATGTATGTATGTATGTATGTATGTATGTATGTATGTATGTATGTATGTATGTATGTATGTATGTATGTATGTATGTATGTATGTATGTATGTATGCATGCATGTATGTATGCAAAACAGGAAAAGATGGGGAACCACAAAACAAAGCACACTTGTTGCATCCCCATTTCACCATTTGCAAACCAAAATAGACTCGGCCTTTGAAATGTAATAGGGGCTTCTCCAAGTATTCAACATATCTGAAATCCAATAATAACATATCATTAACAGAGAAAGAAGGGAAAAAAAAGGTGATTGGAAATGTCGTATTCGTCGTCATCCGGTTCGGAGGAGGAGGATGAAGGGTTCGATTCATATAGAAAAGGGGGATATCATGCGGTACGAATAGGAGATTCTTTCGCTGCCGGTCGTTACATCGCTCAACGGAAGCTGGGATGGGGTCATTTCTCCACCGTATGGCTCGCTTACGATACTCAATCCTCAGTAAGTCTTTTTCCCCTATGTATGTATGTATGTATGTATGCATGCTTAACAATGTTATCTAAATCCTTTTTGTTTCAATCAGAAATATGTTGCTCTAAAGATTCAGAAAAGTGCAGAACATTTTGCTCAAGCTGCCCTTCATGAGATTGAAGTGCTTTTATCTATTACCAATGGTGACCCTTCAAATTCCAAGTGTGTGGTTCGCCTGATTGATCACTTTAAGCACAGTGGCCCCAATGGTCAACATCTTTGCATGGTCCTCGAATTCCTCGGTGATAGCTTACTCCGTTTAATCAGGTTCCGGCGTTACAAAGGGATTGAATTGAATAAAGTTCGGGAGATATGCAAATGCGTATTGATAGCTCTGGATTACTTGCATAGGGAACTCGGCATCATCCACACCGATCTCAAACCCGAAAACATCCTTCTCTTATCCACCATTAATCCCGCCAAGGATCCGACCAGGTCCGCTCTTACACCGATACTCAAAAGGCCTGAGGCGGGTGCTCTAAACGGCAGATCCATGTCCATGGTCGAGAAAAGACTGAAAAGAAGGGCAAGAAGAGCTTCTATAGGAGGAGAAGCTGAAGCTCCGAAACTGGCGAAATCCATGGATGGGATCGACTTGAGGTGCAAGGTTGTCGACTTCGGGAATGCATGTTGGGCTGACAAACCATTCGCTGATGAAATTCAGACCAGACAGTACAGAGCTCCTGAGGTGATGCTAGGTTCTGGTTATTCCTTTCCAGCTGATATGTGGTCTTTTGCTTGCACTGCCTTTGAGCTTGCTACTGGTGACATGATGTTTGCCCCTAAAAGCGGCAAAGGATTCAGTGAAGATGAGGTATCACTGTTCTATACATGCATCGTTAGCATAATATAAATACGACTTATATTCATATCCGGCACTCAAAGTCGAATCCGAGTAACATATGTAATGATCATGAATCAAATAAAAAGAGAAAAGGACTGCCACAAATAACATTTTTGATTGGGTTGTGTTTTAGGATCACCTTGCTCTCATGATGGAGCTTCTTGGAAAGATGCCTAAAAAGGTGAAATCATTTCTGTATTACGAATGCCCTCTCTTGTTTATAAAACTATTCTGGTACAAACATTTCATCTGATGCTTCTCTGCAAGCAGATTGCCACCGGAGGATCTCGATCGAAGGATTATTTCGACAGACATGGGGACCTAAAGAGGATTCGAAGGCTGAAGTTAAGGCCACTGGATAGATTTTTGGTGGATAAATACAAGTTCTCGGAGAATGATGCTCGTGAGTTCGTTGGATTTCTTTGTCCTCTCCTGGATTTTGCACCTGAGAAGCGACCGACTGCCCAGCAGTGTCTGCAACATCCATGGCTCAATGTCAAGAGCTCACATCAGAAAGAGATGAATGTTCAGTCTGACGTTAAGGTTGGAATGGCCAACCTTAAGATTAACTAATGTAAAGTAATAACTATTGTAAAGGAAACGGCATGAGCCGGTGAAAATGTAAACTACACAATGTGTTTCTTCACATTCTTTATAGCATACCCAAATCTATTATCGGAGATAATTAAATATTCCGTGAACCAAACGTAGATTATGTATATCACCAGACAGGTTAACTATGCAATCGCAAACGAGGTCGATTGCAGAAAATCCTGCCGTTAGCCCTCATAAAAACTGCAATACCAACACTTATGCTTCCCCACACAACTGAAAGAAGCAAATGCATGCCATCATTTCCAACTGCAAAAAATGAAAGAAAAAGCTTATTTATGTCTATAACTGTTTCCTACTAATGAAGCTCTGACTGCACTCGAGGATAGTAAGATGAAGCCGAAGTCAACTCACCTTGCCCCAATGACCTTGTTGTCCAAAACAATCCTATCATTACCAAACATAAAGCTATCGGAAACGACTGCAGAAAAGGAAAACATTAATCGGTCTTGCTTGATAAACCATTGAAAGAGAGCATGACAGCATGGAGACAGTTCCAGCAAAATCAAGATGAAACAGTTGAATCTTAAAAGTTGAATATGTTTGAATCTTACAGCTACAGCCTCAAGGCCTCTTGTTGGAGATGGAGGCACCATATCCCGTCTCATGGAGGCTATGTAATGTCCTTGCAGGAGATCAATCGCGTCCTTCGTGCATTTCACCGTTAAATTAGTGCAAGTCAGGATCTTTATTGAAATCTTAACATTACCAAAAACATTCTCACAACCATGAAATGGTGATGTAAAGTGCCAAAAAGCCAGAAATCTGAACTTTCATTAAAATTATTACAAGTGTTACTTGAAGAAACAAAGTATCTATACCTGTTTTGTTCCATCGGAAAAGTTATTCAAATAATAGCGTTTAAGGGAAATATATCTATCTGTAAGGACCCCCTGAACTCTTCGCTCACCGGACCTACAATCCCAAAAGAACAGATTCATGGTAGAGAATGGATATAGTGTGTCTGTGTGTTTGCGTGTACGCGCGGATTAACATTCAGCTTCAGAAATCAAGATATGGATGTACCTCACGATATCTCCTTTTAGCGCAGGAGTGCCGGAATATTGTATGCTTATGTCATCCCCATGATTAGCCCACACTAAATATGTACAAAGACTTGGAAGTAAATTTCAGTTCACATACTAGGAACTTGAATTACTATGCAAAATACTGAGAACCGATTATTTAATATTTTATATCGTTGGAAAGCAAATTATTAGAATAAGAAATGGAATACATATTCTAAAGCTTCCATCAAGTTCTGGATGTGAGCTAATGATTTCTTCAGCAGCAAAAACTCCAATCTTCCTAAGCTGAAGTTCCAACATTTTCCTAGCTATCATGGTCTGCAGATATATGTTAGCATGGCAATGGAAGTAATGAACAGAAACATTGTGGCAAACAAGAATAACAGAAAATTACATGCACGTATGCCGCTTCTTGCGTATGCATGTCTCAGAGAGAAAGATCTATTTTGCAACTTAAACAAAAAGTCATTGATTTTGTTACAGTATGCACGTCAGAAACATCCTTCTACCGTATAATAATAATTGGAATTCACTTTAGTACCGAAAATAACTCTTATGAAATATCTTGCATCACTCATAGGAGTATCAACCATACACAATGAATAGCACCCGGTGAATGAAGGCAACTTTTGTGTTTAAAACAGGGGAGTTAAAATTGTCACAGCAAGTGAGCACTGAGCATACCCTTGCTATCCGAAAAGAAAATGTCCGGTGGTTACAACTCCGGTTAAAGTCGAGTTACCTGTGTGATATTGGTTCGGTCTAAGCAATCAATACAATTGGTTCTTACAACTCCAAGTTGCTCCTTCATTTTCTCTTTCTTTTCATTCAACAAGAAGTACCTATCAGGTTCAGACAAAGCAAAACCAAAACTAATGGGTATATCTTATAGTGATGACTCTTACCAAGGAAATAATATTTCAAAGCTATCATTTTTTAACAGAATTTCAAAACTATCCTTGCATAAGCAATGGAATCAAAACAACTCCAAGAAAAATTATGAAATTGTACATAAATAAAAAGTGCAATTACGAAAACATACCCGTTTTTCACAAGAAAATCTGCAGCTTGTTCGTAGAGCAAGGAAAGGCGCTCGAAATGAACATGTCCACAGATCTTAGTGAAATCAAAGTGCAGATATCTGCATGATCAGAGTCGTCGCGTAAAATATAACCACATCCAAAACCAAAAGAACGAAGAAACAAGAAGTTAGATCGAGAGAAACTATACCTTAAATCTTCACTAACAATGGGCTGCATTGCATTTGAAAATGTTTCGCTTAAGCGTCCCTCACCTCCATGCTGGTAAATAGATAAAGTGGTGCAGGAAAAAGCATTTTAAATAATGAATGAATGTGTTCAGATCCAAAAATACACAATCCTATGCTCATCCACATGCATATTCCATGCATATACACAATGTAAACAACTCAATGTTTACATAGGGAAAGTCAGCATGCCATCAAAAGGTGCTTTCAATGCATTTCATAACAGAAAATATAATTAATTGCAATAATACAGTGCGATTGCACACTGCAAGTGCAAACCAATAATCAACCAATGCTCACCTTGTTGACAAGATCAACAGCTAGTACAGATCCATACATTTTTCTTAGATCCAGAAAATGCCTCTTCGCTATTTGCGGCTGCATAATATGACATATACCAGCAAAGTCAGTAAAGGTAGAATGAATTCAAGTCATCAACTGCACATTTGAAATAGTGGCAATAAGTGAAGACACTTACAGCCTCTCCAGGTCTCACAATCTTTAATTTAGGCTTATAACTCAAATCAACAATTTGCTCCCAAAGAAATGGTATTGACCCCCGAACCTGCAAAGGCAAAACAAGGAATAGGGTCTATGATGACCTGAGCCAATAAGTCAAAGAATGTGACAAATATGGCGCCCATAACGTCGACACTGATTATTTTCAAATATGCCCCTATTAAATTCCAAGGATTCACAAATGCCATATCTTTTGGTTATTTGACTTTGTTCAACTGCTTGTGTTCCTTTGATACCGAAATATGTACAAGGCACTTCATGTAGTGAACGTTTCAAATTCCCCATGGAGTTGATACGATGTGTATTCCGGCATTGAGATGCAGAATCACCGAACAATCTCATTTCTTTCTCTTTCATGTAACCTACACATCTGAATGTTTTCTAGTAATTTGCTTTAGCATTAAAGACCATATATTTTTGCCTGATACTTCTCTTCTGAAGTTGGAAAGGAGACCAGATGCGTACTATGTTGTATTTAATACATCAAGAATTAAATACTTGTGACTAGTTACCTGAACAAATGATGAAGTAAACCCATTAATCTGCACAATTTGCTCGCTTTCCACAAAATTTGCAACATAGCCCTCAGGATCAGCTCCTCTTCTCCACATTCGGGTTCCTTTCAAGGGATACAAATAGTAATCAGTAAGACTAGCCTTCTAAACAAGGCCAAAAAAAAATTTAATTATGAAGATCCACTTGCATTTTTAAAAACTATTTATTTCTTCCCCCCCCCCCCAAGCTCAAAGGGCGTGAGATGATCCTTCTAGTTTAATGCTTCCCATAAATGATGAAAGTTAAACAATAAAAGAATTGTACAGAACAAATGTTCATTAGTAAAGGAGATTCTGTAATAGTACTAGAATTTCATTATTTTGCATGCCACTCAAAAACTGAACCTGTACCCCTCCCAGCAGAAAGGACATTTAGAAGTGTTTCGGAACTTTTTTACGGTTCCCCGAAGGAGCACCTCTGCAGGAGCTTGTGCATTAAGGACATGGGTTCAAATCCCATCACCTATGTCAAGTGCTCCGGTACCCAAGGTGCTCCTCTGGGGGGACAAATGCCAAACATGTTCTGAAACCTGTGAAATTTTTTTGAATAAGAAGTTATAGCAGATTACCTTATTTCTCAAGAAAAAAGTAGTTAGCATGTATATATGAAAAAAGCTAAAAATTATTGAAGAGGTATTCCCAGCTTTGAGTACCGTTTCTCCGTGTACATCTCCTAGCGATTAGCGTAACATCTACAATTTCTTTTCCAATGGTAGCTTGGAAATTATGAAAACCTGATTAGCAGTTAAGGAGATGCTTCAAATAGAAACACCAAGAATGAATTAAAAAATGGAATAAGAACTTCTCATGCCACAAAATGCTGAAATTGATTGGTCCATAAAGGATACTCCCTTGGACAACTGGAAGCAAATAGGGATCAAGCTGCAGTCACAGAACCCGAGGAAAAAGGTAGTTAGCAAGTACAGACTTCAATGATAGAATTGTGGTGCATGAAACTCAAAGGCTGCTACTTATCCAAAAAGAAAAAAAAGGAAAGAAAGAAACTCAAAGGCTACTATGGAAAAAGACTCACCTCCTTGTCTATAAGTGCTTCCAACATATAACCGTTCCAAAGAAATCTAGGTTCTCCCTGTGGCAAACATTTTGGGGACAAAAGGAAAAGCCTCTTTGGTTAGTGACTTAGTGCAATGAAGAATAACATGGAAATATTGATGAATACTTAACACTGCACTTATAGAGACAAGCTTAAAAGCAAAGCTGTTTGAAGCCGGTGGCAAATCATCTAATAATCTCGTAAAATAGAAAACAAGGGAACAACATCAATTACTAAAAAATGAACCATTTACCTGTCTCCATAGAGGAAGCATTTTGGATTCATCTCCCAGATCATATAATCGCTGAGCACTGTTGTGCACCAAATCATATAACAATTGCTTTTACCATAAATATCATATTCAAAGAACATATAGAAAAAAGACTTGCAAAATGAAAAAAAAAATTATATATATGATTGTTAATATTTCCAAAAGGCCATCTTAAAGGATACAAAATCCAAAAGTTTGGAAGCTGTTTGATCATTTACTCTTGTCCTTTACATTGGAACAACTTAGTGGTTGATGGTTAATTTTAACATGTTCAAAAGCAAAGCATCCTGTTTTGCCTTGCAACATGTTATGTTGCTCAAGAATGCACTTCCTATGTGTTGTCTGAACTCCACAGAACAATGGCATATTCAACCACTTTAAAGTCAACTCGCTTGCTAGTGTGTCAGTAGGAAATTGCAATTTATCCTCCTAGGACTGCGGAAATGAACTTATTCTTTGCAAATAGCAGTACAAATACAATGCTGATTTGGTACTGTGGAGGCTTTAAGTAAACTGCTTTGGATGGAAGTTTTGCATTAAGAAGATATTACTCAAAAAACAGTTGTTATGCACCTAAAAACCTGTTTCGGTTGAGATATAAATGTTTCTAGAAAGAAGATTGTTCCAGGTGTTCATGCATACAAGGCCTAATTTGATACAACAGTTCACCTCAGTGTTAAAGTGGTGTCATAAGAGAAATAGAGTCCGGTAGTCCTCTCTGCAGTTTTTAGCAGCCGAGAAAATTCATTCTCCACCTTTTTCTGCCGAAGTCGGTATAAAAGATTCATGTGTTAAACAATCAACAATCAAGCTTGCTGGAAGAAAGAGGAAACATCCAATGTACCTGTTCTGCTGGAGAGTGTTTAACAGAATGAGAACAGCGGAGAACCTTCAAGGATATGAATTTGAAGATAGGATGCCCCAAGTATGATCCAACGCATTTACAATCCGTTACAACAAATAAATATGACCCTAAACATAAAATTTAGCTGGTCAAAATGATTGGAGAAACCACAAGGCCAATTCTGAGAAGGGAATACAAACTAGAAAGAAAAGAAAACTAATTTTCATTCCATTTGGTCATCTAGAATCAATTAGTTCCATGTTAAACCCCTTTCTTCTCTTTTCTTTTCATTTGATGAAACTAGCTTCAAGAAGTATCAAGATGAACAGAAGCTGCAACAATTTGTACTAATTAACCAACTGAACAGAGGATAAAGAAAAACCAGAACTTCACCATACCGGTTACAAATTTTAGCATTCCAACTACTCCAAAGATCAACTGAGTCTTAGGAACATGGATGGAGCTGTATTCTGGAATACTATCTAAAGAACAGACATACAGGTCGAGCAAATCATATAGCAAACCAAAGGTATTGAAAAGGGAGGCACAGAAAATGGACAAAAGTTAAAACAACCCACCAATGAGCATCATTGAGGCATCAACAAGACTAATTGAAAAGGAGGAAGTAGAAGAGCCATCGGTGGGTTGGATCACAAACTCATCAGGGAATTCCCATAACCGCATTCTTGTACATAGCTTTTGGAATGGCTCTGCCTTACCCTTCATTATTGGGATTATATTTCACCACAAAACCATAAAATTAAAGAAGAAAGATTACACTTTGGTATGTAAGTAGGTGGATTTGGATGAAGCTGAAAATTGGGGGATTTGCAGGCAACCAAAGAGACGATAAGGATAGGAAGAGCATAAAGAGGGTTGCTGGGGAAAAGATGAAAAAAGGCAACAGGTTGACTTTAGCGTCTAGAATAGCTAAAAAGATAGCTGGATGAGTAATCCTCCACAAGTCAAGTCTCGGCCTGGAGTTTTAACTATGTCAGCTGACACTGACATTGTTTCTTTCCTTCCAAATCCATCATTGAAATTCAGAGTCGGCTTTTGAAAGCAGCTGCTAAAGAGAAGATGGTTGAGTTCAACAGGATATGCGAGCTTCTATCCACAATGCTACGACCAGGGACTGACTGAAAAAAAAAAGTAAAGGATAAACTACATAAATTTTCACTCATGTTTGACTAAGTTTTTTTTCTCCACTGATGTTTTAAAACTAATAATTTGGTCACTAATATTATCGGTTAGTCAATATTAACTGCCGTTATTATGGGTGATGATAAGTTGATATGACGCGTCAACCGCTGACCTGACAACTAATTTACCACGTGGAACCACTTGTTTGACTCCCAATTAATCAATGGTCATTTGTGAGCCAGGCGTACAAGGGAGTTCGGAAATTGCATGCATGAGGTAGAGCTATCCTTTACTTGAGGTGCTAATTCATCAACCTTGTCCAAAATCCAAAGAAAGCTTGGAGCTACCGAGTTCATCCACATCTCTAGTATGAACACCATTTGAATTGTGAAGCTGCTGTCTTAGTACTTGAAATCTGGCTGGTTCCTACATCATCAGCGTTGCTTACCCTAACAAAGCAGCTTCTGCCTCTAGGCTCTAAACAAAGATTCTTATACAAGTTCTTCATTTTCATGAAAATTGTCTATGCGAATCTTCTTCATAGCCTGCAAATCGTCAACCAAGGGAGATACAATGTCATTTTTCTTTCATATTTTCATCTATTTTTTCCTTCATACCAAAAAAGTAACTGTAACACCCCAATTTAGGGGTTAAAATTAAGAAATTATAAAGTGGCGGATTTAATTGATATTTTGAAAGAAATATTGGGGATTAAATTGTAAAGTTTTAAAGTTGGCAGACCTTTTTATAAAGTACAGAAAATTCAGTGGCTAAACCCATAATTTAACCATTTCTTATATATGATGAATTATAAGCTCCTCCCCATGCGTAGGTTTCATATTTTCCAGATTTCCCTTCTCCAACAACCCAACTTCCAACTCTGATCTACTTGCCGTCCGACCTCCAAACGACGAGCCGAAACCACCATCGTGTTCTTTGTCAATCGAGGAACAAAACCCCTCAAACCTTTCGTCGTGAATCATCGTCGTTCGTCGTGAATTTCAGTCGGAAGTATCGTCGGTAATAACTCGGTTTTAGTTGGTTTTTCATAAATTCACGATGATCGGGTCATCTGTTTACGACACCTCCCGCACCATCGTGTTCGTTGCATCGTTCCGAGTTTTCCGGTGTCATCCTTGGTCTCCGTCGACGGCGGCGCGTGAGGAGGTGAAGCGGTCAAAGTTTCCGATTTGTTGAAATCGAGCTCTCCGCCATTCAAAATTGTGAACCGAGCTTTGTAAGTATCTCGAAATCGCTCAAAATAATTTTTAGAAAATTTTCCGGGATTTTAGCACTGTTCACGCGCCGCCACTGCGCGTGGGGAAGAAAAAAATGACCGGTTTGACCGGTTTTGGTGCATAGTTGACCGGTTTGACCGGTCACAACCCGACCCGACTCGTTTACCCGACCCCGTTTACCCGACCCGTTGACCCGACCCGACCCGTTGACCCGTTGACCGTCGTTGACCACTGTTGACCAAAACTTTGACTGGCTTTGACCGGGCATTAAACGACCTTTGACTTCGACCGAGTATACCTATCCTGAAATTTTTCGACGTTCCAAATCCGATTCTGCTGTTCGTTTTTCGAAATTAGAACCCGAAGGCCTCGAAATATCCGGTCAAACCCGTTGACTTTGAATTTGACTGAAAATTCCAAATTTCCGAAAAGTCACATTTTATGCTTTCGACGTCCTGAATCCGAATCCGAAGTCCGTTTCGCCAAATTCGAACCCGGTAAGCCGTCTTTCACTGATTTATCACCCGATTTGATCCGTTTAACGCAATTAAGCTCTGTTTCTGATATAATTTATGTTGATATGTATCTGAGGAATTATTTGAAGTTGAATTGAAGATCAAAGGCATTCGAATGGAATTTTTATATGGTCGATCGGTATTGCACGGAAATCGAGGTAATACTTTACTACCTCTTTATACTTTATGGAACATGTTGATATTGGTAAATGCATGAATAAGATAATGTTGGTCACTTTTGTGGAGTTGAATAATTTATTCACTCGATATGAATGTGGTAGAAATTCTGTAACTGAATACGGATCGAATGACTAAGATAAGAGATTGATAATTGTTAGAATTAAATTACAAGTTTGTGATTGGTGATAAAGAAATCAGCTCTGGATTTGTAACTTATATTTTATATCATCAAGGGTTAAATGTTAAAGATACTTGGATGAAAAATTATGAGAATACTCCGATATGGTAAAATTACGAAATTACCCTTATGTTGGAAAATGATAAGAATTGCCCCTGGAAGTTGGTTAATAACTCTGAAAAGACATATTGATCCGATATAACTACTGATGTGCATAAGAAATGTTAGTTTTATTTGGAAATTATGGATAACCGGTTTTAATCCTATGAGAGTTTGTGAAGGAATCATTTCAAAATCAAAGAATGTTCGGGAAAGCAATTGATCATAGGATCTCTAAATTATAATTATTTTCGTTAAGTGCTAATATTGAAATTATTTGGTTAAGAAATTACGAAAATGCCATTGAGAGATAAAATAGTCTGAATTGACCCTGAATGAGAGAGTATTTTGAGGATTTGTACTTAACTCGATTAAGTACGAATTTAATTGTTAAGATCCTGTCTTTGTACAGAAAAATTTATAATATTCCGTTTGTAAAATCTGAGAAGACACTTGACCCGAAAATATTCGAATAAGGAGTAAATACTTGAAGAGTAATTTATTGGAGGTATTCTGCTGACAGAATTGTTCGAAAGGAATGAAGTAAATGATAAGATTGAATTAAATAATAAGACCGGATGGAAGGAAATGATTGAAATATTCTAGAATTATAAAATGACCAAATTACCCCTGGAATGGAAATAACTCAAGAATGTCACCAAGCTTAGGAATGAATAGATATACTCAAGCTTTGAAATGAATAGAAAAAAATGTTAAGCACCAAAATGACCAAAATGCCCTTATGAAAATGTCTTGGATTAATTAAGAAATCCAAATAAACATGGATGTTGTGTTACCAGTAAAAGTTATGAAACGTAACTTAAGTGATTAACCAACGTTAGTACTATATCATTACCTGAATGATATAAGTATCACTTGAATGTTTGTTCATCTGCTCAAATTTGGATCGATGATAATTCTGGAAGTACTTGGCGCAGCTCAACTCTAGAGCGCATACAGTACTAATAAGTGGGTAGTCGTTAGTCAAATCAACCACGAATACCAGAATGACTTTATTATATGAATAAATTGAAATGAAATGTAGTACAACGTGTATTTGAAATTCAGAAACGTCTAAATTATTCTGGAAAACTTTAAAGTAATCAGGATAGACTTGCTTACCAAACGAACTAAGTAACATCAATGAGTAAGGATTAAATAGGTGATTTGATGAGTTTGGAAACACTGTTGAACTTACATGATGAATTGTCATTATGGGTTATGAGCCATGGATCAAGTACGTCAGTATTTCCTGATATTGTTGAAACGTGGAAATGAAATAAAGACCGTTGGAAGATTTATTCAGTGATGATTATGGGATGATCTATGGATCTGCACTATGGTATTAAAGAGTGAATACACTGGAAGGATAATGAATTGACTTGTTGACATGCATCAGTTTGAGAGTTGTGTAACTCGAGTTGTTTGATAATATGATCGATAGTCGTAGATTGTAAATGACTTGAATCTTCGATTCTATATTTCATCTAAAATCACTTCGGTCATGTTTGAAAAAAAAAACAAGTAACGCAGATGGAAAAGATTCTGAATATCTCATTTGGTTCAATTGGGCTGAAATCCTATGAATTTAAAGTATATTCCTGAATACCCCTGATTGTTTGGGTAATGGAATCACTCGCAGTAAATCTGAATTTAGAATTATTATGTATAAAGGTTCCTGAACGTTTTCCTAAAGCACACGAAAATATAGTGGGATTCTAATGTATCAACATTAAATGTCTGGCTAGATCGGTTAGTAATCGATTCTCCTCAATAGGACATTGTTCCAGGAATTCGATCAAATTTCATAAGTTTCATGTTATCCAAAATGATAACTACAATGGCCTCTGGAAATACTGGGATTCTCTAGTGTTCCCTACTTATTACTGAACTGTTTTATTGGTTTTAATATGTGGTACACCGAATTAATTGGTTATTGTTTTATGGATGCACCAATTTAATGTGACAATTTATGAAATATGGCTGCTATCTAATTTTTGTTTTGAAATGGTATATGATTACCATGTTTTTGGATTTATGGAATTTATGTCACGGTGCAATTGAATTTTGGAATTGAATTACGATGGAATAGCTCTGATCAAGCTAAATGGGCCTAATGTGACTCTTGAGGGCCCCAAGATGTTTCATTAGGTCGGCTTTCCTTTGCTGTGTGCTTAGGGTAAGCTATATGGACTTATTGACTTGGGCTTAAGGATACAAGCTTCATAGCCTATCCTTAAGTCGGCTTTCTTTTTGCTATGTGCATAAAGTAAGCTATATGGAAAATAATTTTGGGAACTACTGATGGTGTACCAGAAAAGGGTTTAAACTATGATTTTCAAAAGTTAAACTCTTTTACGAAATTGTGAGATTTACTGGACTATGATTTGTACCTATTATGATTTTATTATACTGTTGGAACACACTAGACATCCTATTCGATCTCCTGAAAATGTCATACTTTGAAAGGTTTCTTATGAACTGAGATTCATGGCTTCTACTCGATGAACTTCTAAGGGAACCCCAAATTATTCTGCAAGCTGGTATACATATGATTCAATAAGGAAATTATATGGCTTTCCATTTATCTACATGTCATGTAGCATCATCTGGTAGTTCTGTATTACTGAGCTTTC